GAGAAAGGCACTATTTTCTTTCGAGCGAATGAATTGCACTAAATTCCCCAGGATAGGGTAATAACGTAAAGCTACTTTGAAACCATGGCAGAGCTTCCACGATTCAAAAGAGCAACAACTGCCGATGAAAATCTTAAGACGATGATTAAGTATACAGGACATCTCTAAGCCCACCTATTTGGTTGCATGTGGCCTTCGGTTAGCAGTTTTAAATTTGTGAAAAGCGTCTGATAATAGCCAAGAAACTGACCAAATAATTAAATAGTGCATGTTAATAATCATTCCAATATTTTGGTCTTAGAAAAACAAATCATGCAAAATCATGCAAAACAGAAAATGTTACACATCTATAGAACTCCAGCTCCTACTGGTTATATAAGGCAATATAGTATTGATAAGGATTTACATAAAACGTTCTGTCTTCACACTTCTACCTGGGATAGTAATGCACTTTTTAGAAAAAGTTTTGAATGTTTTGTAAATAATTAATGCATGGCATTTACCAAAGGCAATGTCTTCTGGAAATCACTTTTGAAAGGTCTAAAAAAAGGCCTATAATTTTTTAATGCTTGGTTGCCTTAATACCTTTAGAGCAACATTTTTCGGAGGAAACATCTTCCGTCTTTACGTAATGACGATAGAACTGAACGTCGTTCTTGTGGTAACAATTGTCATTTAACGTTATAATTCCTGATGTCATATATCTATTAAAAAGATGCATTATGTTAGGACAATAATCATTCGGTTTCGAATATATGCATTGATAGAGCAAGCAATTATTTCTTCAATATAAATCATGTACATTCGGTTCTAAATGTACAATTTCAGAGGAAGGAAACTATTAATACTGAACTGGCTCTTTTTCATATAAAAAGTTAACGTATAATTAATAAATTAAGCATTATTGGTATATTTAGAAATGCAGGTGTATTTGCCAAGTATTTTAACCTTGTGGTAATTTGGGCAGATGTGTTTACGGATCCACAAAGGTAAGGTTATTGTTTTATAGTATGTAGCAAACGTTTTAGTGCCTTTTTTACTATCCAAAGCACAATATTAATATTTGTAGGCTTTCTACTTGGAGAGCTTGTTCAGAGCTTTGTTTATTTGGGGTGCAGATGTGCCCTTGACGTTATCTTTGGCGATGTTTTATTGGTTTGTGGTGTGCTGTGAGTTTTGAGTCGAGTAGGCTAGGTGTGTACCTTTCTTGCAAGTAAATTCGTTATCATTGAAATTACATTTTCTAATCTTTGTGCATTTAGCTGGGTGTGCACTATTTGAGCACGCTGTTTGCTAACTATCTAATTTTTTTTAAATCCTTTTATGTATTGCTTGGTTACTGTTTCTTGCAGTGTCGCTTTGAAACCACGAACCACGTTACCTCACTCTGTTGATAATTGAAACAAGTGTCTAATGTTTTTGTCATATGCTTACACCTCTGCAGACGCATCGTTTTGACTGCATTGAATACCTCTTCAGCCCATGTTTTGACTGTTCTATTCCTCCTGGTGATGTTGGTAATGCAAATTATCCTTTATTTACCGTAACGTTCTCCTCTTTATTCATTAATTCTGTTCACTAAACTTTTTTGCAGGTCTTGCAATTTAATTGTGTTACCACTCACACTTTTTTGCAATCTACTACTAATCAATATCCGTGGTCTCTTCACCCACCTTAGCATTTTGTCCTTTTGTTTTATATACAGCCGTTGGTCGGGGTTCATTTTTGTTACTCGGTTTCTAGGTTGAATTCGTGGGTTGCTTAGTATCAACCACCCTCTGAAGTGCTTCTCCGTTTACGATTTTCATTTGTGTCTGTTCGTTTCTACATCAATCTACAAACATTGATTTATTCGTAAAAATTGAGATCGCTTATTGTTCTCATATTTCACGTACCATGACCTAAATTTCTATTCAATTCCTTGCTCCGCATTATTTAGTAAAGTAATTCATAGGTCTTTATAGTGTTCTGCTGCTATGTTGGTTTGTGCAAGTCTCGTGGGTGTGGCAAACACGCTGCTGTTCCGTTATTTAAGGTCCGCGTGTCTAAAGAATGTGATTGATGTGAAATCTGAAGTTACGTATTCAGCTGCCCCAACTTATAAAATCCTCGTGTTGGATGATAGTCCCCCCCCCCACCTTTTAAGGCCAGAAAAATGCAGTGCCTTAAATTGCAAAGTAAATTATTAACCATAACGTATTTTTGACTTAGTCCCCTTGGCTAGCGCTTGCCTTGAAAATTTTATGCATTAGAGCCTTTCAAGTATCTTCTTCGCCAGAAACCTCAAACGCTTCGTGCGTGCTCTACTAGCTTGACATTGTAATCTCGTACACTTTAGTCATTGTCACTTTGCATTTGAAATATAAGCAGTTAAAGTGTCTTAACAATGCCTCAATGAGCAGACTTTATTTGTTGTCGCGCACTACTGATCTGTTCTTCTGCCAATCAGTTACCATTTTTTTTCCTGCGTGTTTTGTTGTTTTCAGAATAGTCTAGGACGTTACCATAATGAAGGCTTTAATCCTCGTTGGTGGATATGGAACGCGGTTACGGCCACTGACTCTGAGCTTCCCAAAGCCTATCGTGGAATTTTGCAATAAACCGTTGCTGCTTCATCAGATCGAAGCTTTAGTTAAAGTATGCTTTTGTTATTTAGCGATCAAATACAAAAATTATCTTCCATTCTTATTGTGGAGCTTGCCGTTTCCCAACCCATCCATAGGCATGCATATCTATTTTGGTTTTAAGATGTTCAATAATTTGTTTAACCCTTTTTGGTCAATTTTTCTAAAAATAAAAGACTGTCTAGGAGATTATAATACATAAAGATGTTTAAAAATCAGTACAAAACGTGATTATTACTCATATAAAAGTAAGCATTGGGCAAATTAGTGTAATAGTTTTGGTCTGATATTTTTTATGTTGACCAGGGTGATGAGACTCAAGAATGACTTGTCTGTATTTAGATTGTACTGACTAGATATTCAAATTGACAAAATACAAAGTACTCTATAAAAGCCAAGGATGTGTAGCGACTAGTTTGGTACGAATAAAAATTGATTTAATTGTCGATGGTTCGAACTAGGTGGGGCAGTCTGTATTTCAGTCCCATCAGCGCTCGTTTGCTCCACAGGCAACTTTATGTCTAATGCTGCAAATTGTTCTGGAAATTATTGCCCTGGAAATATTATGGTGGTAAATCGAATTCTCAAATAAACATGTTGGATAATTTCAAACATTTAACGCCAGATTAGGACGCAATTGACGCAGATTAGTTTAGCATCGTCATTGAAGAATGACATGCCTACCTGATTTTTTTATGTGCTCTCCCAGCTGTCGTCTTTCCCTAGCTAAATCTGGCGCCTAAATTAGAATACACGATTTCTTGTTAAGTGCCTCACAAAAATATTTTTTAGCGCCATTTAGTAAATGCATACCATCTCCTTAGCATTTTTTACAGTAATTTGAAGTAAGAATTGTTTTAACACTTCTAAACCCGTATTCCGAGGCTCACCCTTTGCTCGTATCTCAGGCCGGTGTAAGCGAAATAATCCTTGCCGTAAGCAAGTCTGCGGATCGTTGTGATCTCCTGGAAAGCGAGGTTCGAAAACACGAAGCCCGTGTAAGCTCAACTCGACTAAGTATGATTCTAATTACGTATGTGAAACGATAGTGTCATGCATCTTCTTATTTTTTTTAGCTTGGTGTTAATATTATATTTTCCTACGAATCCGAGCCGCTTGGCACAGGTGCGTTTACCTGAGTCGTTGACGCTTAATTTTGTAATCGGTAGTCCATCGCCACTAGTTCCCCGAATGCATTAAATCATTTCGTTTTACTGTAAACATACATGATGGGCGTTGTGACCTCACTGCCTTATTGTACTTTAAACATGAGCATGTTTTCCCTCATGAAGTGAATAAATTTACACTTAAACCAATATCCCTGTATGCTGTTTATTGAATCCATGTGGATCAATTTATTTTAAGTGGTGTGCAGCCCACACATACATTGCCAGCCAGCATTTTTGAAATAACTTGCAAGGACATAATTCGTGCATTGCGTGGTTTTAATCCATTTCAAATCGACATCACTTCAAATTATAAAGATGAAATAGTGCAATTTGCAGTTATAACATTCCTCTTCTTTGAAAATAAAATTGGCCTCTTTAACAATTCCGTATGGGCTTGGTTTAACCCCTCAAGAGTGTCCAAACTTGGACCAGTATCTTATAATGCACAAAGGATAATTATTAAAACTGCAATGCACTTTATCGATAACCTCTACAGGGCCGGTTTGCGTCAGCGACGATTTTGGCTCGCATCCCACTCCAATGCTGATTAGTAGGTATGCATTCGGATCAGTGTAGCTTGAGCCGTGAGTTCACGCATGCCAGTATGTTTACGGAAAAACCATTAACTAGTTATTAGTATTATTATCAACACACGTTTCCCACGCTCTCACGCTGTTCTTATCATTTTATGTCAATTCCCATCGTCAACCGCCCAATTCACTTTCACATCCCTGGTCGTGTGCCTAATTAATATCGTCTCCCAAGTCAAAGGCCTCGACTCCATTTCTTAATGGTATTTTTTATTGCTAGAGGTTGTGTTTTTTGTCAATTCGTGTAGCTGGCCCGTTAGCTCTGGCCGCAAAGTGGCTCACAAGTTCGTCTGAGCCCTTCTTCGTTCTCAACAGTGATGTCATTTGTGCCTTCCCTTTTGAGCAGTTGAAGCAGGCTCATGCGAAACACGGTGGCGAAGCCACCATCGCGGTAGGTTGCCTCGACTGCACAACCTGTTGACTTTGTCCCCAATCAAACTATTCAAGGCTTGTGGGTGATGGCACGACTCAGTCACACTACTGTTAGATTATATAAATCACTCAATGACTCCACAAGCAATGAATAAAACAGAACACTGTCGGTCGCTTAAGCTGATAAGTTAATGTCTTCACATTTCTACTTGTGCTTTCTGCGACTGTTTTTTTTTTTGGTAAAATGCAAGCAAATACACATTTGCTGTTTCGTAGTTCGATATCGCTGACAAACCTGCGGTGTTGACCACGTTCAACCCAATGTGATATTCTGTAGAATAAAATGTGATCAAATGCTAGCTTTTCTCTGCTTTTTTTTTAAATTGCTGCGAATTTCCCAAAAGTGTTTGCTGAGTTGCAATTTGTATACACATTTTAAAGATTATAATGAAACTGCCGTTAAGACTTACCTTAAACTGTATCTTATGCTGCAGTTAACAAAGGTTGAAGAACCCTCAAAATTTGGCGTAGTAATATTTGAGGAGGAGACAAGTCGGGTCAAACGCTTCGTTGAAAAGCCACCCGATTTCGTCGGAAATAAAATCAACGCTGGAATCTACCTGCTCAACCCGAGTGTCATTTCACGCATTCCGGTTAGTTAGTTCAGCGGTTGTTTTTTTTTATCGCGATTAATTCACGCACTAACGTGTCGACGTGTCCTTCTTTATTAGTTGAAACCAACGTCAATCGAGAAAGAGGTGTTCCCGCAGCTAGCCGAGGATGGCAAACTCTACTGCTTGCCAATCAAAGGTCAGCGTCTCTGCAGCTTTTGTCGCTGTTTGGTTAGTGTCAACTCCTAGGCCCTGGTCTTTCACTGTCTAATGCAAACACCATTGACTAATAGTTTCTTCAAGCAATTCCCAGCACAACTGTTGTTAGACGTCCTCGGCAAGTACTGACTTGAACACTCGACTTGAATATTTACTGTGTTGTTAAATGAAAAGTCCATTGTTTTGACAGTTCTGTTATTTGTAATTTAATTAATCGGCTGTTTCTTTAAGGCTTTTGGATGGATGTGGGTCAGCCGAAAGACTTCATTACCGGCACTGCTCTCTACCTTACCTACCTTGCCGCGACTGACCCTAAGAGCCTCGCGACCGGTCCAAATATCTGTGGAAATGTCATGATTGTAAGGCCCCACTGTTTGCTTGGTTGGTGCTTTGCAAGCATTCTTCACTGTAATCAGAATGATTTTATTCCATGCTATTTATGCGGTGGCACAAAACAGTCGTTTCAGTTGTTTTATGACTATTTCGATATAATGTAGCCCCGTGCCATAATTTCTTAATCTTCCATTCACGTTTACCCTATAATCAGCACTTCTCCCTAGCTAGTGAGTTAAATTTAGGAAAGAGCAATGATGCAATTTTGAAGAATTACCCTTTAGTCTGCTCTACAGGTAACTTGTCTTACTTTCCTAATGCTGGTGTTTTTCGCTGATTTCCTGCGTCAAAAATTAACAGAAAACCTAAGTGAGGTAATTTTATTTAGATTTTTGATATCCAGCAGTACAGTGCAGAGTTATCGTATGCCGTTCTTGACAGGCAAGTACGAAAGCGTTTAGCTGTCATTCTTCACAAAAAAGAGTACTTATTTTTAAGTTTTCTTTTACTTCCGTCCATAAATATGGAACTTGTTAGTGAATTGCTCTTATTTTCATTCAGCTACTTACTCTGTTTACTACAGGACCCATCAGCTAAGGTGAGCGAAAGCAGCCTGATAGGACCAGACGTTGTCATTGGACCGGACGTCGTGGTTGAGGAGGGGGTTCGTATACAATCCTCGACCCTACTGCGTGGCTGTAAAGTGCAAAACCACTCCTGGCTCAGTTCCTGCATCATCGGATGGGACTGCTTAGTTGGCAGATGGGTAAGTGGCGGGCTTGACATCGGGCATATTAGTAAGGGGAAACACGCAAGTCTTTCAACAATGCGCGTGCGCAAAATTATGCAATGAACGTTTGGTATAAGTCTGACTACTCCTAGTAATTCATTAAAGTGACGCAATCGACCTCCCCAAATTCCCGACTAGAAGTGTAGCGTTTTGACTTTCGTGTACGTGGTTTTAAAGTTAGCTAGAAGTGGCTTGACTCGAAAATTCTAATTTATTTGTCTTCTCATTCGGCTAAAATAGTGTTTTGAATAACCGCAGAGACACCAAATAACCATCTTATTTATGATTCGGGTTAAATGCACTTGAATATAGCGAATTACTCGTCGGCTTTGTCGGGTAGATTTGACGTGCCATCAATGAAATGTATTTTGGTCCCATTTCAAGCAGAAAGGGTCTGAGCTGTCAAATTTGGTTGGGACACGAAACACATGCACATTGCGGTCCCCGGCCGCAAATGCTGTGGCATGCATTTAGGTTTATCCTAATCCCCGTTGAATGTAAGATTTTGCCAGTTTCATCCACTTTTGGTAAACCACGTCAGTTTCACTAACGTAATGTGATCAAGAGAAAACACTTCGAATGCAAAGGACTGTGCAAAGATAGTTCAATGTGGGGACGAGGCCATTCATTTAACTGAACCAGCTATTGTGCATGCGGGCATAGTTATGGAAAAGATGCTTGAGCATTAAATGCTTCACATTGAAGCATACATCCACCAGTCAATGCTTAGAGTCTTTGGTAATTCTGGAATTGCGTTGCTTCTACCCCTAGAGTGTAAAAACAGGTCTAGTTGTAATAACAAGGCACGTCACCAGCTTGCACTCAAGTCACCATGCATACGGTCTGCCAAAAAGAAGTCTGGTAATGGCTTGTCCTTCTGCCTGTTACCAGCGCCTCAGTGTGACCTAAACACCAATACAAGTCAACCAAGGGCTAGTTGTTAGATGGGTAAATTACGATGTTAGAGGGTGAGATTTTTCCTGAAGGCCGTCGAGCCCCGGTTCCTGCACTGTCAGATGGTTTCGTCTTGATATAATGCCACGAATTCGTGCCAAACGCCACTACTTGCAGGCTTTGGTTTTGTGGATTGCGTTCGTGCAAATAAACAGCGCCACGTAGAAAAACATAGTAACACCTCCATGCTATAAAAACGCTCGTGCTAATGCCACAAGGTCACACACATGTCTCATGCAGATCTCTATTCTTGAGCGTGGTGTGTCTAGAAATGCACATTGATCGCCCTGACTGTTCAACGAAACTTCTGTAAACAACCTTGGTTTATGTTCGAATGTTTAGACAGAAGCTTTACGCACTAATGCAGGCGCTTAGCCATTTTTTACACTAAATGTCATCTACTGAATGCATTGGCATGTAGTGGTGTGATGCCTGCTAATGTGGCCCTCGGTCGGTCAGAATCGACCTATTTAGTGCTTAGGTGGGTGTTGTTGAATGTAAAACCCCAATGTCTTGCCTCCTTGTATGTACCCAAAGAGGACTTGTAACCCACAAAGAGTCTCATGATTAAATTAAATTGGGTGGAGCTTATTAGGCATTCTTTTGACGGTTGCTTGCTTCGAATGGTCTGTTTGGATGACATGTATGCACGATTCATTCAACAGTCCTTCCGTGTTTTTTCTTCGTGTTTCGTAGGTCCGAATGGAGAATGTCTCGGTGTTGGGTGAAGATGTTGAGGTCGCAGACGAGATATATGTGAATGGTGGGCGCGTGCTGCCGCACAAGCAAATAAAGGACTGTGTTACAGAACCGCAAATTATTATGTAATGGTTGTAGCCATCTTATTTTGTGCTTCTGCTGTTCAGTTAGCCTACAGACTGTTTCCGTGTAGCCCCTGCCACCCATTATCTACTTCCGTGGCGATGGTTTCTTGATTGGAAAATTTTCACTTTCTATTTACTTATATATAAACATATTGAAAGTAAAATGCGGCTCCTCTTTGGATTGAATTCTACCCCCGAATGTGGGTTCACCGGATTCCCATCGTCTATTCCATGTGGTTTGGAACAATGCGACCAGAGTTCAGAAGTTGGATCGAATTTTCATTCATGGTGAATACCTTGAATTGGCGGGAGTTGACTCTTGATGATCCGACCTTGTAGAATTTTGGGATGAAAATTTGTGTTGAAGTCAAAAGTGATGGTTCTCTGCTTGTGGTCTGGGCACTCAATGTAATCTGGGAGAATATTCTGTGGTGCATTACAGCCGGCATTACTAAACAAGTCAAAAGAAAGGAAGAACAGCGCCCAAATGAATGGACACTCAAAATTCAGATTTTGTGTGATTAAAGCTCGGCAATATTTCAAGAAGTTTTTATTTTCGCAAAACTAATGTTTGGTAGACTTGTTTTTAGTGGTGATGTTGAACAGAAGATGAATTAGTCGGATTACTTGCCTGCGTCAGCAGTCAGTCATAATGCTGAACCCTGCCATGGTCGGCCCCAAACGCATCGGCGTGGATGATAAAAAATGTTAATGAGCTTCCTTCTGGAATCTCTTTACAGACGGATGCATCATCAGTCTGACTAAATTCACAGCGATACTTAGGAGGGCTTTGCACAATTCTTCCCAGATGGGGTTTCCTTTAGCCTTAAATGAGTGTACTTGATAAAATCTCACAAAAATATTCAACACATGTAAACTCTTCAGCACGAATTCGCCACGTTGACTGATTAAACTAGTTAGCAATAGAATTTAACAATCACACAAGCTGCTGTCTCACATTTGGCTTTTTTTTTCAATTTCATAAATTTGTGCTCACACTCTCTGACAACATCTACTTTTGTCTTTAACATGGAACCACGCCAGTCTTTGCGTAAAACAGAATGAATCTGATTAACCAGACGGGTCGCTGCTGCAGTCATTAAACCCCGATTCGACAGAACTCAGTTTTTGACAGGATTGTCAGGATTTTTACAATTATATAATTTTACTATCGCCTTCGTAATATAAACATCAACCTTGTAACGTGCCTAGCGAGTGGGGACCTAGATAGGGAGATGACCGTTAGCCCGTCCCTCTTAGATAGCCGCGCCATCATGGTTAGCTACCAGGCATACGATAGAAGAATAGCTGGAAGAACCGGATGTATTCCATACTACCGCATACAAACTCAGAGGGCAAGAGCTTTGGGAGAGTTGGAGTAGGGAAAGGGATGGCCGCGAGGAGGGTTGGCGTTGCCCTCGGACTCACGGGCGTGCCTTGCGGAAGGCAAGAGTGCGGGAAGGGAGAGGAGGACAAAGAACAGGCCAGACCGGCGTGCGTGGGTCGAATGGCGCGCGTCACAACCTTCGCATTCATTTTCCCCTCCTTCTTCCTATTGGTCCATGCACATTAGGTTGTACTCTTCCTCAAGGACTCCCACCACATATATAAGTGGGCGCATGCAGAAGTGCACTAGAATGGAAGAGATAAATGCAGTTGCCGAAAATTTATATTTACCACTGTGCCTTAGGATAAAATCTCTTTTGACTAAGTGTTTTAAAAGGTCCACCTAATTTAGGAGCAGCAGTTCAAAAGCAACGAAGGAGTTGTCTGTGGAAAATAGATAAGTGAGGTCCCCGAAAGCAGATTTGAATGCTTTAGCTTACTCATTCAAACTGGAAAGTTTACGATACAACTTATTGTTTAAGGCCATAACGGGTGATATAAATGGCATTGATATAAATAAATAACCTAATTCTTTACGTGTTTACTGACCTGATCGTGAAGAGAATACTGACCGTATCCAACTGGTCAATTCATTTTAATTAGTCAGAGCACACTTTAGTTGAGGGTGGATGCGTTCAATCATAACTGAAGATGATAAAATTCTGTTCGAACGAACTATGTTTCATGAAATCTGGCAAAACATTCATTTTTTTTAATTTTTGATGCCTGCTAATGGTAAACCAAAAAAGTCGAGGAATGAACATGTAAATACTTCGGTGGAGATGCCATGCCTCAAAGAACCGTCTTTTCATTCATGGAAAGTTTGATTTAATTAAGTGGATAAAAAATCGTTTTAAGCAAAGCAGGAGTCTCCCAGCATTAAGATGCAAATAGCCAAACGTTGATACTATGCCAAGGAATTGTGTAAGCCACCATTTTCTAGCTTGATTAACACGCAGTGTTCTGGCATCAGATTTGATCTTTCAGGTTTCTTTGAGAGAGCCAGATCAACAGTAAGTACTATTCGTGCCAAAGAAAGATCAATTTTACTAAGAAAGGGGTTGCAGAAATTCACAAAACCATTTACTAAGGTATGACTATTCTGTAACGCTTACCTTGAGTTCATACCTTAAGAAAAAATCTGGAGACAATTGTTGGATGATGAATCAACTGTTGACAACATCTCCCTGTGGATGCAGTTGTGTATCCTTTTATGCCGAATTGTATCGTCATTATTTTAAAATGAGGTCACACAATTAAACTTTCCATCTTTATGGCGCATAGTACTGACGCGCATGTCAATAATCTCGTGCATTGCCATCGCTTGCCAAGTCGGGCACACTGGCCCGGAATTTACGGCTAATTCAACTATAAATTCACATTAGTGAGAAGGCAAGTCGTGCCAAAATTTTGTCTGCTTACGACGTATTGGAATTCACGTAGTAACAATTCGGGATTCCTATAAAATTTGGGAAGCTAATTTAGGCAGTGTTTCAAAAAGCACTTGTGTTTGGACAAACAATTCTTTGTAGAATAATGCTAAATGGACCTTGGATTTAATCAACTTACTTTTGTATATTAATTACCGTGAAGTCATGTGCTTTGTATACCTGGTCTAAATTTAAATTGTTTTAACTGGTCATAAAACATCCACAAATTCAGTTATTTCTGGTATCGTTCCGTGACTTCCTCCGATGGTGGGTTTCTGTCCTCGGTACAAATTTAACCCCTTTCTTAGTCTTAATATTTGCTATCCTGACTTTTTTTGTGATGTAGTCCTGGTCAAGATGTTTTTTTCAAATCTTTTTTACTCGTATTCTGTTTGCGTTCCATCTTTGTGGCAATGTTTTCAGCTTGTTTAATTGCGGTTTTGCTTTTGATGTGACTGTGGAACGGATTCTTACTAACATTTTAACAAGCAAGCTTGTGATATCAGTGAGTAGATCTCGTCAGCGACGTGAATCCTGGTTTAGTGGCAAATCCTATGGATAACTCTCTGTCATCGTATGATGGGCTTATTTTTCATTCCCATTGTACTGTTTTATATAGATTTTGTTCTAGCCGCCAAAATATGTGCACTTTGGACTTGAGTTAATCCTTTTTACTTGTGCAAACATCCTTTATCTGCTCAATTCAGATGTAGCTGGATTCACCGTCAAATGACAAAGGAATAGTTGCCTTTTTGGTTTGATGGATAGTCTCAAGCTTTTAGTTGATTAATTTGATGTTAATCACCACACACAGGTCTGAAGATGGCTACAGAGGGTGGTGGGTTTACGAAACCACGATATTGACGGCCCGCTAGTCACCTCATTGTGTAGGTTGATTTGCACATGTTGACGACAAAGACCAGATGTTATAGACAAGTGGATGATTGGAAACACCCGTATGAATATACCGATGATAAGAAACGTAAACATACTGGTAAAAGGATTACATCTTTCCATTAGATATTTGCTACAAGTACTTTGTCGTTGCATAACCGAATGTTGAGTTCTCTCGTCGGATCCTAAATGTCGTATGTGTTCATCTAGGTTAATGTGGATAGGCATGTTCTTCAATCTCTCCAATATGTAGTCTTTGACCGCAAAATCACTTAAAGTCTTTATTGAACACGCTTCTCCGATCCTGATACATGTTTGCTTGATAAAGTTAATGTCCCAAACCTCATTAAAAATTGTCTAATCGCTTTTAAATTTTGCCCCACTTTCAGGCCAGGCATTTGGGAATCTGAGGTCGTAAAATATTTTTTGTCACCATCAGGCGCCAATTTGGCATCGCAAATCTTTTTGTATTGTCAGAAATCGCATTGTGCTGTTTCTTTAGCCTGTGGTGTGTTGTTTTCGTTTATTGGTTATATCTAGTGTTAATCGTGTGTTTCACAAAGTGCACGTCGTGTTTTGTACATTTTTCATCTGTGTAGGATGAATTGGCAAATCTCTCAAATGAGGGTGCTATTTCAACATATGGACGGTTTAAAGTCGTAAACTTTGCAAAGTGCGTTGCCATTAACTATGTCATCGTAGGTTGCGTCAATTTATATTTAACATCGTACTTCTTTTTTTAAAATTAAAACGCTGGGCATGTCGGTGGCTAATGAACTTATTTGCTTGTGTAAGCGTTATCGTTGAGTAAATAAAAACCTAGTCAATTAAATTCTTTCGTTCGTTGAATTTATCAGAACAAGGTACTTCAGATAAATAACCCAAATCTATGTCAATTCTTTTTTGCTTTTGTTCAGAGGAAACCAAAAGTAAGGTCGTTTTCTGGTTTATTTTGCGAATCTCCATTATCCTAGTTTTTGTTGCTTTCACAGTGCCTTTTGTCGTTCTGATATATTTGTTTGCTGGACTGTTGTACCTGTCGCCGATCCATTTTTGTTTATGGAGCATGCTATTGTCTTATTCTGATTTCCAAACGCATTTGATGATGCTTCTATGATTTTCTCGCCCTTCGTTGCGCTTCATGTTTTTGTTGTCTTTAACTAATACGCATGTGCATGGAACTGTATAGATGCTCATCTTATCCACGTGCCTGCTTATGAAATGTGTGTACCAAGTGTGTTTAGATCCTTAATTTCGCATTGCCCGAGGTCGTCCTTTTTTGTCTTCTGAGTTCAACTACTCAAGAATGACAGGCATGATAATCTAGTGATTATTGCCATAAATCACTAGATTGTCCTTAATCGCTCTCGTTAGTGAATTGGACAGCTCCATATGTTCCAGCGACTTCGTTTATTCGTCTAGTTTGTCGATTTTCTAACTGGATCAAGGTCCAGTACTCGCAGACCTTTCCTATTTAACGCGAAGATGCATAATGGAAGTCAGTTGTCCGTAGCCATACATTTCCTTCATTTCCCATCGCCTCATTCGCCTGCGTAGTCGTTTTCTTCCAAATCGACTCCACACAAGCACTTCCTAATCACTCCCCCCTCCCGCTTTCAGGTAGATGTTGCGGCTAGTCGTCTACTCAGCGATGAGCAGAACCAGCGGCTCTTGGACTATCTCAGTCCCTCACGCATCCCAAGAGTGGTTACTGTGCTCCAGCTGTACAAGCCTGATGGCCAAGGTGGCTGGCACCGCAGCCACACCGGTGTCGCGGACATTGAACGCGACAACTCGACCAGGTTCTACTACATCCGAATCTACAACCTAGATAAGATGTCCCAGCTCTTTGAGCAGCGTCTCTTTCTTGAAATGGAATACACAGAACACACGAGCGAGTTTGCCACACTCAATGGTGACGAAGGCCCTCTTGGGCTGGCCTTTGCGGCAGCCGATGAGGCTGTTAAGTTCAAAAATGTTTTGGCACGTATTATGCAAAAATTTATGAACAAGATGAACGAGATATCCGCCCCCATGAATGGCAGTGGGGCACCGAATTTACCTCTGTCGAACCTAGTACCGGTCAACCAGTTGCTAAGCACCTCCGCCAATGCATCTCACTCATCGCGATTCCGTAGCACTTTTAGTAGCATTCGCAAGAAGGTAGGCTTATGTCCACCATCCTTCCACATTAAATACTTTTCAATCTGTATTGCCAAGTCCAGTGCCAGGTTTCAATGTCTTGACGTCGCCTTCGAACTTAGGCCAGATTTTTATCGCCAGCGTCAGATGTCGTTGAGGTTTTGCTCTAGTAGTATTTGTTCGCCTATAACGTTTGCTTCCTTGTCCCACTTGAGTTTCCGCATCTTTTCATTATGATGTTTTCCACTTGCCGTTATTGCTCCACTTTTTGGTAGGGTCACACTTACATAAAGCCTTCAAAGATTTTGGATGCGAAATGTCTTTAAATGAGGAAAGTCGTAGTGTATCGTTATTTTTAAGGTGTTTTCTGCCAGATTAACCGTTCTTTATTTTATCTGTTTGGCGTTGTTGTCTAATACCTTTCATCATGACTTTAATCTTCACGGGGTCACGGTCGTGTCTAGTCAGAATTTTGTAATGGCAGAACCAACGAAGTTATGCTATCCCATGTGCTGTCTGCGGAAAACTATCGAGCGGTATCCTTTGTGTGATTTAGGGTTAAATTTGGCGATTTCAATCATCCTTGCCATATTTTCACAGATCCCAGTGGCATGTGTTTTGGACTGTATTGATGTTTATTGTATAACCATTTTACGCGAAAGTCACTCAAAGGCGTCAAGTTAACACTGCCTTAATAAAGTTTAATCCGAGTTGTGTTCAGGGTCAATGCTCAAAACGGGAAACGAAAGAATACGTAGTTTGTTTTTTAGTGTTATCAAGATGGCATTTCTCATGATATCTCCTTAAACCATTTGCACAGGTTTTTGTTACAGACCTAGTTTGCCAATCCGAGTAAAATTCTTGTTTGAGTGTGATTCGAAGCACAATGTGCCATCGGGTGTTTCTGTTTTTAGTGAATTATTATGTAACTGCTCATTTTTTTATCAAACCACATTCCTTCATAACCTCATGCACTTACGAACAGTATCCTGTGTGAAACAGTTGTACTCCACCCAAAAATATTCATGGTTCTGGTCCTATTTTAGTGTTCTTGGCGAAGGAAATATGCTGTTGATTATATTTATCGCATTAGATGAGATTTCGTTGGCATGATCTTTCAATATCCTCCCAAGGTTAAATCAAATTCTCAAATAATTTCACCGACTATTTTGATAGCATTCAAGTTCTCTGCGCAGTTACCCGCCGCGTTTCGAAAATAAGTAATTTCGTTGAATTTCCTTCTCTGGGACAACTTGAACCACTTTCGTTTTTGTTTACGAGGTCTAGGTTGAAAACTTGAGTTTCACACTATTTGTGGTTTCAAATTAGTATTTGCCCACATGACACTTGCATCAACGGTGAAAAGACGTTCTCCTCTTCGTCTCACTTTTGACTCCCATTCGACTTGTGTATTTCACTCATCACTCGTCGAACTCTTCCAAGCCTGTTAAACTATTAAAACGTAACCGCTGCGTAATTAGTACGATGTCAAAGGTCAATATCTCCTTCTAAGTTGTCTTATGCGTTAACGCTATCGTTGGAATACTATTTTTTAATGGTTATTTGGCTAATTTTGTTCCCTGCACCGCATCTTCTTTCGGCTCAACACTGGCTGGGCCGACCCCATTTGGAATTTCACCCAGTTGATATTTTGTCTTTTTAGTTTCATGTTTACATTTGTACTTCAGTTATCATCCGCCTGCGGTTTTGTACCGCCAACTAACATTCGAGACCAACAGAAAATATCTTGATTTTGGTGAACAACTGATCACATTGACTTTTGTGACAGGTTTAATTTATGTAATTTCCACTTCCATCGGTGATTAAGTAATTATTCTTATAGTTTTAAAGCGCGGTGGGCGTTAAGCAGGTTTTACTGAATAGGAATTTCCCCAAAATGGCGTAACTAGAGCTTGAGGCTGTTTTTTATTCTGTAGTAACATCCGAGGGCATGCACGTCTTTGAATATGGTCTATTTTCATTTAAATGTAACTCCCCTAGCTTGGCGACGGCAACGCTTGGCTCTAACGTTTATCTGTCGATCATGCAGAGTAGAATTGCATAATGACTGGAACGTTTTCCCTATAAGGCAGATTCGTATTTGAGTATCAAATTAGGTGAGTTGAGTGTTTGAGCCGAATCTCCTTCCATGTATACGAACCTGGTCCTTTATTGAGCGCTTACGGTCTTAGTGGCTTCTTCCACCAATAATGTGTGGAGTGTTTGTTTTTGACATTGCAGCGATGTGTTTGTCAGAAAACACAAAACGGTGAAATAATCTCTTGCAGTTAGCTTCATGTGACCTTTTTATATTTTTGACAGGAGTAATTTGTGTGAAATCTGAGGTCCGTGATTGTGGAAAATCGTTTCGTAGTAATTTGCAAAGGGTACAAATGCGTTTTGCGTGGTTTCAATGCTGAGAGTGCATGTGGTCGTTTACTTGCGGAAAAGGATTCTGAGAGATCTGGCCACAGTTATGTTTTGCTGACCGTTTAATGTTACCCGCATGTCTTCCTTGGCACCGTTTCGTGGTAAAGGTCTATTTTCCTTGTGTCTGAGATATGTCCTCCAGCCATCTACGCCATTGATGAACTCCTGAAATAATGGTATAATTCCAAGGTCTGTGTTGTCTTGAATGCTCGTATTCATCATCGGAAGTGTTTTCAGCACTTTTGCAACTGAAGTCTTCGGTTAACCTGATTAAGGCAGTCTTTCGTTGAATTTTTGCTTTTGTTTTAGCCAAAGCACAATAGATCGGATTTGATTAGCCGCCCATTTGGGTTTCATCACATCCAACACCTTGGTTTTAACAAAGACTCACAGCAGTTTGACGCCTCTGGTTTGCAAGATGAGCTCCTTCAGGCCTTTTTGGAACTGGGTGGTCTTGGTGAGCAAGTTAAGACAGAGGAAGAAAAGCAATTTGCGGTTAATTTCATCAAAGAAAAATGTGGTTTCGATAAGGTTAGTTATGTAATCATTTTGCCTCTCTATGTACCCTTTTGAGACTGAATCGGAAATATTGTTTGTCAGTAATCAGTGATGGGGGGTAGCCAAACAGCGCACATTGGACCGTGCAGTTGGAATCCTTTCTGGTTGACAAGGCTTTTTTCTCGACCCGACCGCGTTATTCATCGTGACCTGGAGGTCAGAAGTTCCTCAAGTCAATGCGTGAGTGTGTATAACAGGGTAAAGCGATTATGGTCAGCCTCAAAATCAATGCTTACATCGCTTTAAGTAAAGGCACATGAATAATGCGAGCAACAGTAACAGGCTTTAGCTTCAGACTGGTTATCTCTAAACCTGCCACTTCTGCTGCAGTGGTGTAGAGCATGCCCTCTGTAGGGCTTAATTCGTGTATTCGAGTCAAACTCGCAGTAGGTGCGTTGTTTAATCTTTAAATGGGGCATAAAGTATTGCTAATGCAACTTTTGAGTTTTTAATTTGTCTGATTGATTCGCTGCAATGGTAGAATGGGATTTTCTAAACCCTTTGGTTTTTGCTTTTTCGAACAGTTAAATGAGGCGATGAAACATCCTGTGCGTCAAGCGCCTCAGCCACCAACTACAAACTTCAACCAGCCTACCCATTCAGTTCCGCCAGTCCCAATGCCACGATCCTTCCCCCAAAAGCCGTCAATAGCGCCTCCTCCTATTCCTGCGTCATTCCCCTCACAGCCCAAAATCCCACCACCACCTCCGCCCCTCCCACGATCTGAAACGGGGGGTTCAGCTATACCTCCACCTCCTCCTCCCCCCCCTCCTCCACCACACCCTCCTGCTCCCCTCATTCCCACTTCTGCGGGTGGAGAGCGAGACAAAGTGCGACCACCCGCTGCAATCCCACTCTCTATCTCGGATGAAATCCGATCTTTCAACAAAGACAGGCTCAAGAATGTAAGTTCAAGGTTTCTTCAGTGACCACCTCTCCCCACCCTTATCATGTCAGCACTTTCCCGCATATAGAAACTACAATGCTTCTGTTGAACTTTTTGGGTGGATCGTTAGTAGTAACGGCCTCAGCCTCGATGCTCCCTGAGCCGTGATCGGCTTTCGCTGCGCAAGAATTGCAAAGCTTTAAATTGGCACCAACTTCTCTCCATGCCACACTGAACAAGAAGTCTTTCATGTTCAACTGCGGGGTTGATTAGTCACGTATTCTGTGCGTGCTTTGGTAGCAGCAGGTGTCATTTCGTTACTTTTCATTTCAGGTCGATAGCGAACCGCCACCACCGGCTCTTGTGAGTGAGGATCGTCGTGGTGATCTGGAGGCTTCTTTGAGTGCTGCTCTCAATAAGCTTCTCTCCCAGAGACGTCAATACCTGTCAGATGATGAGGACAACGATTCAGATCCTTTTTAAGAGGTCGCATATTTGAAAGATTATCTCATTCGCCTATCTGCACCACTCTGATACACTCACTTTAACCAGTGGAACGAAACGTTCTTGTCTAATTTGCTTACTTGGATAAATGTTTGCGATGTACTCTCGTCAAGACTATGACGATTGTGCTTCGAGCCAAAGACGTGGGCCTAACACCGCTCGAAACCCAGATTCGCACTTTAGTGCCAGTGTGTGTATGTTGGGCCCAAGCATATTTTACGATTGTTCAGAACAGTGTAATGGAACCGATGACGTTTTGAGAGAGATCGAGACATAAACGTTCTGGTATAAACTGCCACCGAATCGCGGTATGCCTGCGAGATGTTCTATTTGCCCGGAAACACGCATTCAGAATCAATCGTACTTGAGATTCCAATTCAACGCTCTGATACGAAGGTCTTAAATCTTGATTTGGTTCTGTCAACACCAGGGTGGTGTTATTATCTGCCTTAGCTGCCGATTACGGATATTCAGGGGTATTAGAATAGCGATACCAACTCCGTGTGCTACGTTATCGCCTGCATATGAGCGCGGTCCATATTTACTAGAAATGCATAATCCTGAGAACAGTTTCATTCAAATTTCTTCTTTAAAGGAGTTACTCCCTCTCTACTGTCACTGCAAACTTCCACAATTTCAGATGACATTGGGTGTTGGGTTGTACATGAATCAAGAATGCTGTGGTCTAATTCACATTCACAATACGTAAAGGCCATCATTATCTTGATGTTATTCCGCTGTGTTTGAGACTTCTATGTGATGGTCAACTTTAATAAGAGCCATCAGATAATTGCATTCAATGGATTCAAAAACTACATCGAGGCCTTAAATGGAAATGGTCTTATTTTAGAGGAGTGTTTAAATGCGCGCTAATGTGGTGGGAATTTCTTGGTAAACAACACACCTCGGAGGCTTCTAGTTTTCTGTGGCCTGATGCACTAGCATCACGCGTCACAGTGGTGTGGGGTCAGGTTCAGCACAACTCGTGTTGTCGTTTTTTTTCGCGCTAAGCTCACTGGCTCATTGTTTTTGCCTGTTTGAGCATTGCACAACTCTTGAGTAGTAGTCAACTTAAATTAACTAAGAGGTTTATTTAAGATTAGCACTTGAAGTGGGGTCGATTGTGGGAGACAGTAGTGTATCAGGTTTATTTGACACGAAGGTTGCCAAAGACTTAGGTTCGATTCCCAGTCGGGCATACAAATACGTGCTTTCTGGAAATCCCAGTCAGAAGGCACACCGCGAGACTTGTTTTATCTTCCCTTCGACGTGACATGGAGCTTGACCACTCGGTATTCCCAACAATCTACCATTAAGCTTCGGGTTGTTTAGTAATAACCCATCTTATTTATCACTAGGATTGCTCCCACGCGTCTCGCTTCGGTTTTTAATTCGGCACCAAGTCCTATTATCGCATTCATTATCATTTTGACCAATTACCCCTGCAACGTAACCTGTTTTCCACTTTGCACACATTTTCTACTCTTTAATGCCCTTCCACTTAAAAGTGTGCCCATTTCTATCTTGATTTAGAGTTGAAAATTTTGTAGCCTAGAATCTTTCAACAATACATTAACTGGTATTGGTGCGAGAATGCAAAGTGATTGGTTCTACGGCTGAAATGCATCGGTCAGAAATGCGTATCAGCCACTCACTCACAAACTAGTCTTGAATAGAAGGTTTTATTTAAAGGAACATTGACATCTGGTGCAAGCATAGGTTGCGATTTCTACTAGACACCTTTGTTTCGTAAAATTAATTTTTGCAGTTTGTCGCATCAGACAAACGGATCCTCTTACTGCAGAATCTTCCCCTAAAACCATCGTTTATTGTTGGAAAAACAATGTATTTTTTCTGCAATCATAAATGCATCCTCATAGTTCCTGTCTCGTGTAAATCATGGTACTGTATAATGAGCATGCTTTTAATCAGGCATTTACTGGGGGGACCGCTGCTATTTATTCTAATTGCCTAAGTCAACGGACATCTAGTTGAACGCTTAGAGCCAGAGACCATATCAGTAGAGCAGAGATTGAGCTCCAACAATGCACATTTTTGTGGTATGTCCAGTGCAGAATACCACTCACTACAAAGTTGCATCTTTTTTGATAAAAGTTGCAGTTTAGTTTGCCAGTATTTCTCACAGAACCACCATTACGTGTTTGAAGCAGATATGGAGGACTGGTAAGGTGAATCCAAAGGGTTTCTTTTTCTTCGTGTTTCCTACCATACGGTGTTGAAATATAACAATCGAAGATATCATTACGGTGTCTTCTTTATTACCAAAATGGATGGGAATGAGAGAGCACATTGTATGACTTATTGATAACAACATACGAATAGAAGTAGCAAGAATATGTTCCAGAAAGCCCAGATTTTTTCATAAATATAAAGCTTGATAAACAATCAGTTTAAATAAACTAGATCCTACTAGAACTACACCTCACTCAGCGGACATTCGTTTCACTTTGTTTAGTGAAGAACCTGGGATAGGCTGAGAGACCATTAAAATTTTAGTTGCTCAGAGCAAGTACACAGGGTTATGTGGGAACGAGAACGCGGCTTAGCGAGTGACTGTTTTTCGCGCCTGGCCACACATCGTCTTTTTTTGCTTCAGCTCTCCTGAATTTCGTTTCGTCAAGAACTGGAACCCACCTGCTTCTTCACATGCTTTTTTTTAAAATCGTGACTTGTCCCGTGAGCATAGATTATAGTTAAGTCTCTGAGATAAGCAAGCTAGATCTCTGATGGAATACACATCACGTCCGTGGTAAAAGCATATAAGAACTTTCACAACGTTCCGGTTTTCACACAAATTAAAGAGAGTGGATTATTTTGACGTGGTATATCTGATATTCAGTAATCAAATGAAGAAAAACCATGCATTTTTTTCACTAATGTGATGACCCTGCTTTCTTTCAGGTTTTGATGTAATATATGAGACTCAATTGGCTCTACATGTTGTACCTATTCAGCTCTTTGTTATATTTTATATTTAACTTAACGCGATCTAGTTTAAGAACTTAAAGTAGCAGAAACTATTGTTTAGAAATGCGATGAAAGTCCCATTTAACGGTTTTCTATCTTTTTTGTTCACTTAAAATCAGTCTTGGCAAATTCTCTTTTGACAAACTCAAAATTATGCAGTTGCCGAATGCTGAAAACAATGAGTTCCTGGAAGCAAAACAAATTTTAATCAACTACCTTTAATCACGTGACGGAATTAATGCTTCATGAAGGATTGCCGTTTTACAACACTGCCATTTCCTGAAAGGCAACCAGATTCAGTGTTTACATAGGAACAGTTTGACCAAACTTCCGTGACCCAGATGCCAGGAACACTTAGAAACCCTTTTTTGAATGCAAATTTTTGAAAACAGAAAGTATCTTAATTATGATCTCTCATTGTTCATTCGAAGATGTAAAGACGCTTAGCTCCGGATCATTTGTTGCCAGACAACCTGGAGGTGCCTTGGCATCAAAGCCTCTATTCACAATCGACAAGACGATTTCACACCAGTTTCTTTTTTCCCAGATTACAGTGTGTAATTGCATACTGGCAGGTGGTTTAGTACAATAACTGTTTTGATTTCCTGCTTTTTTGATGACCACATTATGCAAACTCGTTTTATTTATAGTAAGGAAGATGTACAATGGGAACTCAGGAATTTTTCTAACAACCAATCAGCACTTTAGATTATGTGGCACTTCAAGGCATTCTAACGGATAGTGGGAAACCATATTCTGCTTTAAACGTCGTGTACAGTTTCAGCAGTACAAAATGTGCGTATATTGAAGGCCCTACCAGCTATACTGTAATCGCATTCAAACCATTACTGACTCGGCAAGTAATGGGGAAAATGTGTAACAAGCCTCAAGTTGGATCTAGTTGTTTTTATTCCAATGAACACTTGACTAATCTATCAGCATGAAGTCGGTTCAAGAATTAGTTGTTGGCATCCAATGCGTTTAATTTTATGATTTAACTTTATATTATACTAATAGTACACACAATTGATTCCTCCTTAAAAGCTTCATGCCAGCTTAAATAAAAAGTAATGAAACATTTTTGTTTACCGCAATCCTGGTTGGACTATGACTCTTAAAAACATTAGGTTTTTCAACCGATAATATTTCCTGCTGCATCATCCATACTGCAAATTCAACCTTCGATAAAAAGTCAGCTGAATATAAGTTTCAATCCACATTCCCAGAAATGCCCCCATTATTTATTGAATGAGCATTTGAATTTCAGCTAAGAGGATACAAGATATGGCAAGAAAGCCCAGTCAAAAATTCACCTGGAGAATCAGGTCACCTTCCTGCGAAGAATGCAGACGCAAGAAAAGGAGCCTTACCTTGTTTGCCTTCAACATAACCTGATTAGAGAAAATAATTAGAATCTATTCAAGTTATCACAATTTGCATAGATTTTATGAATATTTATAAGATATCCTGAAGTTCAGGCAAATGCTATAAATCGCCTTTCTCAGCTAACAACCCGAAGGATCTTGAGTTTATTTCACCAGAACTGCCAAAAGCGAATCCGCGGTTTGATTATACTGACATCAAACAAAGTTGCGGATTGGAAACCCTTGAACAACTGTATCGTCACAACTACCTTTGACCGTGAGTAATAGGGTACTTTTAAATGAAACACCAAACCAAAGTCTCTGCACATAATAGGAAACTACAACGTTCAGCTGCTTGTAGAATTCCTTGGCCCTTCTAGGCCACTTAAGCGACTAAATTGGTCTTGTTAGCTTCAGGGGTCACGTCCTCAAAGGTAGAAAAATCAGTGGATCATCTAATAGGCATGATAAGGAATTGTAACGACTATTTTTTGGGTAAACATTGTATTTTGGTAACTATAAGATGATAGAACTTGAAATCGGCGTACCGTAATATCCCCAAATCAACGTACACGGCTATACTAAGCTGGATGTATTTTGACTTGCACATAACCTTGCGTAATGGATCCCTTCAGCACCATCATTTCCACTTGATTCCCCCGTGGTGGCTTTTATTTCCTCAAGACCAGTTCCTTTTCAGGTGTGCTTGAACGAACTAAATCTGCACTGCCATAAGCTTCTATTCTAATCTTACTTCCAAACTCTCCGCATCCTTTGCTCTAGATTGGATGTTGAACCATGTAACTGAGTAGTTGGGTTTTGTGGAACATTAAAAAAGTTTATGATTGAGATGACCATGTTTAAATAACGCCTAATTTTGCGCATGATTCTGCAAAGATCACTGTTTCCTGCTTAGTATGTCGATACAGGACCATTACATTAAATATCCATGAGAACGTCAACAACCAAACCATACGCTCGTGGCGTTTGTAGTGGTTGCGTAAATAAGCATCTCTGATTGGCTCAATCACTAAAGGAGCCGAAGAGTGAAATATAAATTTGCTATTACGGATTTGTTTCATGCATACTCGTTACCAATTAGCGATTTTCTTCAAAAATGCCCGAAGAGACAACTAATGGCTGCCATTGCGACAATGGAAAGGTTGGACCCAGTAAGTTGTTTTCGAGCCAAGTCTGTTGTAGGTTTAGTATCTAGAATACTTGTTTATGCACCCCTCGCTTATAAAAACAAGAAGATAGCAAATTAGTTGAGTAATAAGTTAAATATTGAACTATGATTCAAATTAAAATCACATTTTCGGGATTTCTGACATTTTTTTCTTTTCCGCAGCTTATTTGTGCCACAGAAAGAGCACATTCTTTTAACATATAATCTTACGCAAATACTAGTCACGATTACTTAAGAATTTACGACTTCTAGTTGTTTTGAGAATAAATTTCTAACACTGCTGTAACATTAGGGATCTTAGTGCCTCCTCAAGAAATGCGAAAATTAAGTTCTCTTTCTAATTTTAACATCATCGCACGCAGCCTGATTGCTGTATTAATGATTTATTAGTACTAAAGAAAGTTCGGTCTCTCATTTTCCAACCTTGAGCCAATTTGGCATACTGCTGGATCACAAAACGTGTCCTTTAGAATGATTAGATGTATCTCACCAGACAATAAGCGGTCCCATCACCAGTGGAATAACCCACAGATTTTTGTTAGTTTAATGTAAAACCCGTACTAATGAATTTTTAATGCAGGCAGACGGGAAGCAGAGCTCGAGTACTACGCAGAGATGCGTCGATCGTGCAAGGCGGCTGTAGACAAGGCGGTTGAATATTTGGAATCCATTGAGTCATACCGCCCATTTCCGCTTGTGGAGCCAGGATTTCTCATACCCCAGCTTCCTAGGGATCCCCCTGAAGAAGGAGTGCCAATGGAAACAATATTCAGTGATGTCGACAAATACCTACTCCCTGGGGTAATTTATGCGTTAATGAGTTTACTCACTTAATAATATATTCTTCAATGCAAGTTCGGGTGATCTCATATATACAATGTCAGACAAATGTTAGTCCCACCTGAATTTACGCTGTAAAATGATCTATTCCAACCTGTTCTGGTGCAAATAAGCATCATAAACACACAATTACAATGATTTACCACATTTCCTTGACAGATTATGTGTGCATGAGCACATCGATTTTGAAGCTCCGTTAACTTACTTTTTACAATTGCAAATGAGTAAGTAGCAGAAAAATTGGTGTCTTTTTACTAAAAAAAATTGACTTATTACTGGTAGTTCAGAATGTTTATGGTGACCTATGCAGTTAAGACGATGGTTACCTTTTTGAATAAGCTATTGCCAACTTTCTTAAATTACGGCGTAGAAACGCTGAAGAAAATTTTTATTAAGAATGTTTTTTAAGGATAAATCTTGGCTAGTTTAAGATTTGAATCCTGACTTCGTCCTAGAGAAACGGTAACTCAAACAGATGCTGTCTGTCACACGGAGGAACACGAATCAAAATAATAATAAAAATGGTTTGGTTCGCATGTTTATCAAAAACGTCTAAATGACCTTCATTATAACGGTTGAATAAAAAAATACCAACATTTCGCCCCGCACTAGTAGTTGTGCAAACACTGCCGCTTTTGGATAAACGTCAGGCCTTTTATTCTTGCATGACGATGCCAATTGTGACGTAGATTATGCCGATCTATTATGCCGTACTAAACTGCCTGCACTAAACATTTGCAGCACATGCACCTAACCATGGGGAAATCACGAGTCTTCTGTCATTAAGAAAGTGAGCATACGACTCACGACATGATTTTCTAGACATGTCTATTTGTCAACGTATTGCTGGACTCATCAGCAGTGAACCCTGTCTGGAGGTCTTGTTCGTCTAAAAATTTCGACTTTTTTGAATTATGAACTTACGCGTTATAAGTTATTCAATTTTGGAAAGTGCAAAGGGTCAACGAATGTAAAAAACAAGGATTTATTTTTTTTTAGTGCACACTTAAAAATAAATCATTCCCTAGACTTTAAAACCTAGGCGGTAAAAAGGAATAGTATGAAATGCCACAGTAAAATCCAGTTTCACAACTTAAAAAAATAAATCCACATTAAGAATTCAATTCTATTAGCGCGTTAAAATATGACTACGATTTCTAAAAATGCAACGCTCATTAATAACCTGGTCTCAAGGGAAGCACCACTAGGAGAGGAAATGGAAGTTAATTTGCTCACATTTTTTGTTTCCTTATAAATGTAACACATGGGAATTATTAACTGGCAACTCGTGTAGGTATGCGTTTACTAAAGTCTCGATTAAAATTTAACCTCTTTGAGATTTAGAGGAACTTTTCTCAATTGAGATGCTTGTTTGGCTGTTGGCTTTGTTACCTACCGCTGAACCAAAATCTCAAGTACCAAAGTGCTTGATAAGCGTCATTTAATTTCAATCTAATTATCAGTTCAATCACTTAATGTTGTGAAATCTGACCCTCAAATATTTTGAAAAACCCAGATCTAAGGAGGGGCCATGAAGTGACAGTGATAGACACATTTTGCACATTTAGGTTACGCACTGGAACCATCCCCATTTCCATGCATACTTTCCAATGGCCAATTCCTATCCCGCTGTGTGTGCTGATATTATTGGCAGTGAAATTGGAGGAGTAGGATTCACTTGGGTAAGGTTCAAGCATTTTTACTACTTCAAGCTTTCTTTCTGGCCCGAGCTGTGCAGGAATCATCACGAGCCCACGCAGCTACTCTCTACAGCCTTTGCTATTCACCCTTGATCTAGAAGGGAACGCACCAGACACTAACTTGACCGGAAAAAAACGCAAAAACTTAGACTAAGGTGTGCTGGTCAGTCAAACTCAATAGGTTTTCCTCCATACAAAATACGTAACACGATTGCTTCTAAACCCTTTAGTCGCACATAAGCGCATTCATATTTTGACTTTAAGGCATGCACCTTTGTTCGGACGTCTTTGTAGACTCACGTTAAATGCACCAATTCACCACAAGTCCAGCTTTTCTGCTTGGGCTGTTTTAAGCTGTCCATTAAATCTAGGTAGCTATCAGGAAACTACAAGTTTGGTTGTTCCGTGGTATGGAATAATTTCCAACAAGGCTCTCCGCAAACAGCTTCTAAGCCACTTAACATAGATTACGTTTCAGTTCCAGAAAAAACATCGCAATTAGAAGTTATTTTTAGTGCATATAACTAAGCCCATGCGCTCTCCGAGAGATGGGTTAGTAAAATCTATTTGCATGAAATTTATCCAGAGCACCAAGTGTAATATGAAAACACTAAATTACTTTTGCCATAAAATGCATTCAAGGTTTTCAAGATGCTAAATCCTTTCATTTGCCGCTGAAAAAAATTGTGTACACTGCGACTTAAATATGTTTATTATCCAAACTATACTCCGCATTGACTGACGCAGCGAATACTCGAATTGAGAACTCACGTTCAATTTCAGTGTTTGACTTGACTGGTCTTTGGGGGAAATCCAATTTATCAATGCTATCGATTCAAATTGATTCATTTTTAATGCCAATTGCATATTTAATGAGTAGTTGAGACTGGCCTCAAATAGCAAGAAGGTACGTTTCTGTAAAGGGTGCTGAAGTTATGGAACAGACATTGGAAGCTCGGATCCTGGCATCAGTTAAAGAAGTAAAGTTTTACAGGTCAAGGAGCCAAGATAATCTACAGCGAAGAAATTACAATTACTGCTATTTTAAAGGGTTCGAATGTAGTTTGTCCTAAAGCGTGCAGTTGGACATGCCGAAAGTATGGGTTCTTAAGCTATGGGACAAAAACATCAACTATTGTTTGATTTAAGATTCATCAAGCGCTATGCAACAACTGATATGCTATGAATAAAGTGGTTGTGAATTTTGATTTACTTCGCTTGAATTTTCTTGAAAGGTTTAACCCTTCTCCTGAGCATCTGTCACATCTCCGTTCGTTGAAATCCCCCTTCACGTTTTTTCGTTAACTTGCATATACTGATTATAATGAAGTTATCGTTGATTTTTTCAACAGGCTGCTTCGCCGATTAGCACAGAGCTCGAAGTGATTATGATGGATTGGTTAGTGAAAATGCTAGGCCTTCCCGATTTCTTCCTGTACAATCGTGCAGGTGGTGGAGGTGTAATTGGGGTAAATTTCGTTTCTAATTAATGCTCTCAACTTTAATTGTAGCCATTGTATTACTTTATGACTGGTATTAATACAAAACTCCGGGTGTCTCAGCCAACTTTCTGGAATTTACATATCATGCAAGTTCAATAAGGGGAATTTATTATTTACTAAAATTTTAACTCTGAGTCAACAGGATCAAAACTAAACCCTATTTCATTTAAAATTGAGACCACGGTTTCTAAGTCTGTAAAGTTAATCGAATGTGACATGAATAATAAACCAAAGTATCTTTCGATACTATACTAGGTAGGTGCAACTGTCCCAGTTGATTCCCATTGGAAAATCAGCATTCACTTGGACTCTACCTATTTTCAATCCATTAACGTAAAAATAGATGCAAAACATGGCAATTCAAGTGATATAGTCACAACTATTTCTGACCTGCACAGGTGACTTTTTCAGTCCGTCACCGATGTCAAGCTTTCACATTTCACTACCCAACTCTTGATGTCCTTCAGAAAGCTTCTATTGTACTTGGGTTTCCTCTTGAGTAGCACATTCGTTTAATAACTCTACTTCACGTTCACGTGTATTTTTTTGAAGTATTCTGTTTCAAAGGTCAGTGTGCAGTTTTTAAGTGCGAAATTGTCAAGAAAACCGAAACGTGTGTAAAATAATGGAGAGGACAAATTTGATCATTCGTAATGGCACTGCGCTTTCTGTGGATTATTTGTTAGCGTTACTTGCAAGTGTATCAGTTTGCTTTTTTCTTCTGCGGCTAGAGTTCATTATTTGACGTGTTCCAACCAAAACCTTGTGGCTGGTATACACAATCCGGGGAAATAATTCGTGTTGGATACAACAACTAGCACAATCGCTCTTCTTTCAGAGCAATTTTTCACGATGCATTTAATTTGGCCCTCACGTTAATGCGCTATTTTACAGTTGAGTTTTGCTCACTAAATCTATTCTAATGGGTGGTCTTGACAACACAGCAACGTCACTTAATAATATTTCATGATTCATGTTAATTAGCCTTTGTAATATATGTGTACTTTTTCGAGTATGCAACACTAGTGCTCTTTATTCAATTACCGATTGCACTTGCACTTTTTATTTGCGTTTGCCAATGCCTACCCAGATTCGAATGAATATGCAAACATCCACTTTTGAAATAGTACTTTGTGCAGAAAAACTGTCACATTTTTAAACCATTTTCATTTACATTTTCATCTTGATCTTAGACAACATGCAGCGAACAGACGATAGTAACCATGATGGCAGCTCGTAACAAGGCGATTGACAAGTATGTGTCCCAGCATACAGGGGCTACGAAATTTGAGGCTATGTCAAAACTCATCTGTTATACGTCTAGCCAGGTAAGTCTACATATTTTATACCCAATTTTACCATCAAATGCTATCATTTCTTTAAACTGCGGGTACAATGTCTTGACGACTAAGTTGATAAATAACCCATTTTGCCTTAGTGTCCACTGCATTCGGTAATTTGCTTAATCGCACCAAAGTCATACTTTTCACCTGTGGTTTAGATTGACCGACGGCAGTATTTTAGTGTCCAAGGCGTCGAAATTCGATGTATGCTACTACAATGGTTTATACGAGATCAGTACATTGGGGAATGTGTAAACGCACGTAATAAAACATAATTAAATAAGTTTAAGTTTTCACGCAGTGAGGATTTTTTGACTTTCTATCATAGGAAAGAGGATGCAAAACACTAGGTTCCACCCCAATATTAAATGACTTGATACAGCTCTCTGAGGATTCAGATTAATTAATGCTGACGAAGCTAATTTATCCGCATTAATTTAAAAAAAACGTAGTCCAAAAGAATTCTGACAGAAATATTTCATGTAATCGTCATATATTATTGAATTTACTCTAATGAGAAGTGGAAAATATCGCTTTCCTCATTGCGGCAGTTCCAAAAATAATGGCGCTTTTTGAGAGGTAGTCAGTAATGTAAAAAAAGAACAGATTTGAAATTAAACAGTTTGTGTTACATGGAGATACGTGGCCAATTAGCGGTCGAGGCACTGTATTGAGCGCACAAAGAAGACAAATGTGGCAAGGTCTTTGGTTGCTGTATTTTGAACTAAGGAAGTAGAAATAGCACACATTAAATGCGGATTCCTCATTCTGCAGACAGCAACAAAATGCCGAATTGAACCACTTTTGTTTTGAATGCCTTTAAGGCTCACAGCTCGGTAGAAAGGGCCGCTCTGCTTAATCTTCTTCCGATACGAAGTCTCCCGGTCAACGAAAAATACGAACTCACTGGTGAAATCCTCGAAAAAGCCGTCAAAGAAGATATTTCTAACGGACTGGTACCATTCTATGTATGTCAACCATATCTTTGAAGATTGAGGTTTTGGAATTTTGTCACACTGTTTGCTATAGCGTTCGTGAGGAAATTCTGGCAGCCCCAGATTCACCGTTATGTATAAATAATCGCTTACGAAAATTGTGTGGTTAGTAGAATCAGCCTATTGCCGTTTACGGAAAATCACACCCAGCTAAATGCTAAATATTTATGCCTTTTGCAAACAGCTATTTAAAAATGTTACAATCAAGGCACTTGAATGAACGTAAAATGTCGACTTCCATTTTAAACATAGCTCCGTTTTAGGCAGCATTAAAGCATAGAAACATAAGCGAATGCTTACTAATAGAATTAGGTTGTTCATTATTCATTGTGGTACTTCATTCGTCTCAGGGCATTATGTGACCAGAAGTTAGGTTAACATTTTTGAGATTATTCCTAGCCTTCGACACAAGTACCACTAATGAGGGATTACTGTAACTCATTTGATATGCATAATAATGAGGTGCTAATGCGTCTTTAAGCCCCACTGAGTGCTATTTTTGATTCCTAGCGCCAAACGCCTTTATTGGTTTGAGCTTACTGCTTCCTTTGGGTATAACGCATGGCACAAATCACGCTGAATGGAAATCGCTTATTGACCTTTAGGATAATCGATTGTAATAACGAATCGAGCACACATATATAGGTACATACCTCAACATATTTAATACTCGGATTTGTATATCATGTTGATTTTATCGAAAGTCAACTAATCTCATACCTAGTAAACACATGCTTTTGCGAACGCCTTTGCAAAAATATCTGGTTAAACATTGAAAAGTACACAAACTCGCAAGGCTGCAAGATGTGTTTAAAGTCTTCTATTTATCTATTGCTGGCTGTCTGCATTGTCCAGAGCTTAAATACATATTTAAACTGCTGTTAATCGACCATGCGGCAGTAGGTTGAGTAAAAGATGCGAATTTTAAACCTGAGGACTATGACAGGAATTTTATGTCTCTTCCTGTATTAGTATCTTTATTCGACCTAATATATTTGATGGTCGGTCACGAAAAGGTGGTAAATTTTTATTATTACGCCTGGTTTTTCTCTGAATTAATTTTGCATCCGCATCAGTAGTAGGTGTCAATTTAAGTATGCGTGAATTGGAAAACCCACAACCCGATCTCGGCCGACGTCGCCTGTAGCGCCAGACATTTATGATTAATGGCAAAAAAGAAGGCGAGGACTTTCCAAAAAATTTAAACAGCTCTTAATTGTCTAAACAATCCTAGTCTTTTTCTATGCTCCGTCAATCTCAACAGTTTTGAAGCAGTTAATTCTAACCCATGAGTCATTTAAAGTGACTCTCTTATAGTCCTAGAAAATCATAAATATAATCTTTTTAGTGCATAGTTCGTTTTGATTCTACTTTTTTCTTTTATAATCATGTGGTACTCGCGTTTAATTTGATAATTTGTTTTGGGAATGACAGTGAAATCACCATGTTTCAACCCCGGGCTACAATCCAATAAAAAGTCCACCCCATTTATTTTAGTGATGAACAAAATTTGTGAGGTTTTTTAGCTTGTGCGAGTATCAGCTTACTTCGCACTGTCGTTTGGACCCACGAAAATGCGTACTTGCATAGACGTTCCACTTGTAACGGAATATTTTCGGCTCAGTCACGTCAAATTCTAACTCTCATGAGAGTAACACAAGCAGCATTTCGATGTCCTCTCACAAGGTCTCCACGGATTTAGTACTACCAAATCACTAAAATGGCGAAATTTATCCCCTCTCTAAATTCCAGTAGTGTCCAACTTGGTTTCTTTTGATGGAGCTGCATCGCCAAGTTTCAAAAAAATTTTCACCAGTGTAGTTCCCTTCAACTCTGATTTCGTGAAGAATTTAATACATGCTATAACCTCAAGTGCCTTTCTGCGTAGGGCCTAATTTGATCAGTATGGAGATCATCTCAGAATGCCTCAAAAACAAAGAGAAACAATGAAATCTACTCTTATTAAATGTTAAACGCAAAACCTCGATCACTTTTTGGCAAATCTTTAATTCAGCAAAATGATCTGGTTTGTAGAAACCTTTTGTAATTCTTATAGTGCGTTGCAACGCTGGGAACTACCGGCTGCTGTAGTTTTGACTGTCTGGATGAGATTGGACCAGTTTGCGAGAAGTTCGACATTTGGCTCCACGTGGACGCTGCCTACGCGGGATCTGCATTCATCTGTCCGGAATTTCGACCTTACTTGAAAGGCGTAGAGGTTGTGTATCCAGATAGTCTGTTTCTTTGTATCTTCAACCAAAAGGACCAACAACTAATCCACATGTGGGAGACTAGCTGGTTACAGTTTTCGAAATCTACCTTCCTTAAAACCCTAACCACCGAAAGCCAGGATTAAGAATGCAGAACTAAATAGTCACCATAAACGTGATTGAACTCAAAATTGTCTTGTCAGCATTCTATCACGATAGGCCTATCTGCAGTGTTCATTCGCTCATTGGAATTTATAATCTTTTTAGTACGTTACCTCCTTCGCGTTTAATCCTCATAAATGGCTTCTTACAAATTTCGACTGCTCAGTAGTTTGGTAAGTTGGTCTTTAGTATCCAAGACGATATTTTGTGTTCTCAATATTAAATTTGTTCGAACGTAGACAACATAGGCTGTATGGGGTATTAAATAAATCAATATTACTTTAATTTTCATGTGGATGGACCAACCACGGTACGGTGCTACTGACTCAACCGAGTTGGGGTAAAAATATGCCCAAATTATCCTCCTCCGATCAATGTGTTATCATTGTGTTGTGTGTTAAACCAATTTCTGAAGGATAATATTCTTCTTGACTACTTGACTGCAGCTAGAGCGGTCAAGCAGGCGGTATTTCTTTAAAATGAAAGGGCAAGGCACTAAAGTGATATTTTTCACTTTTACTCCCTTGAAGGTACAAAGACGCTAAAAGCGTGACCAGAGCCTTCAGTACAGATGCCGAATATTTGAAGTACTCCGAGTCGGGTAAAATGCCAGACCATAGGGTAAGTCCTGGAAGATTTCGTCTTTTTTTCTGTGTACCTTATTATATTTACTTTCATATTCCTTTTTAAACACAATTAAATTTCCACATCGAATTAAAAGCGACCATTTATATACATGTACAGAGATAATCCAAATTAAATGTACATCCTAATTACTACCGATTTATAAGGTAGTGTAGTAAGCATTTAAGTTATTCTCCGCATTATATATCTTTCCCAAGTGAATTAGCAGTTATGGTATATCGAATGCTTTCTTCTTGTTTAACTTCATGTAAAAGTGAGATATGATGTTAACGGATTACGCGCTTATCCCATCTAAAATAAACTTTAGATTTAGTCAAAATTGTACATTTTATGCAGGATGTCCATTCATCGGTGGCGTAACAACGTAATTTTACAAATACTTTCGGACGAAAACCACATTACTTGATTTTGTCAGATCTTGGTTAGGGGATTTCGGCTTCTAGAAGGAAAACACCACCCTAGGTGCCTGTCTCCCAACACGACTTTCAATAAACTTTAGTAAAATTTTTACTCAAACTTGTGACTTCCTGCCCTTTTAGAACTGGAACTTGTCGTTCGGAAAACGATTTAGATCCCTTAAGCTCTGGTTTGTCATTCGAAGATTTGGGATTCATGGCCTGCAGGAATATATTCGTCAGGTATGGTTTAACAACAATTTAGTAGTCTTTTCAGCACGTACGAATGGCGAAGTATCTGGAATCAATAATTAGAGAGGATCCTCGTTTCCAAATAATTGGTGAAGTCACTTTGGGCCTTGTCTGCTTCCGAATTAAGGTTTGTTTTTATCAACATATGGTTACAGTTAATTGCATTTTATTGTCTCTTTTCTACTTCCATCAGGACAATAATGAACTTACTAAGTTTCTCCACAAACGGATTGAACAGGATGGAAGAATTCACGTAGTTACCGATAAGGTTGTCACTGCAAGCAACGAGGAAATGTTCTACATTCGAATAGCCATTGTATACCTTTTCACTGACGAAGATATTTGCCGCTATGCCTATAAAGTCATTTCCGAGATTACAACCCAGCTCTTAGCAACTGAACTCCACAAATCACCCAACACCCAAGCAATATCCTCAAATTAGGACAACGTGGACACCTAAAACCACAATTACGTAACTCACTTCCATGAACATTTACACTGACTTGACTGTTCTCATGTTGTCATTCTTTGATCCCGAACAATTTAACTGAAAATTAGTTTAATCGAACAACAATAGCAAAAAATGATTGTTCATTGATTAACAATAAAATCTGTTGAATTTTCGTTGAAAGACCTGATCCTTTTTCAATCCTTTCTTAAGACCTAAAATACAATTACTTCCTACGCCGCTGCAACGATTACGCAGTTATCCCATAGTACATAGCAGGAATAATACCTAGACAGGAATAATCGAAAGACCAAGTTACGGCGCACAATGGTGCTTTTGGTATTCCGACAAGTCTAGGTTTTTAGGCTGCTCGATGCATGTCAGCCGTGCTTGAATACACAAAGGCCAATGAGAGGCCGGAGATCATAAGTGATTGTTTTAAAGGGCCGACGACAATAAAACAGGAGTTCACACAACCCCGAGGCTCCAGTGGCCCAGTGCGTCCCTCAGCAGCAGCAACAGACTCGAGGGAGGCTGAGTGGAGTTGCCTCATTGAGGTTAAGAGGACTTTGGCGGACTGATTAACGGCGCACCTCTTCCCCTCCTAGTAGTCTGTGCACTCCACCCCTGAACCTTATGGTTTATGCACACCGAGGTTTACGACCTCCTACACACCGCTGGCGAATAACAGTTCCGGCGCCTCAACTGTTATTTTATCGGATCCTGGGGTCCCATGGGCAGCCCTCAGACCTCAGCAATTTACAGAAACAGACATGGTTCACCACAAGCCTCAGCCGTTACTTTTTTCTACTTTTGTACGAAAAGAACAACAGGCATCGAGAAGGGGACGGGAAACTAAGAACACATGATGATGGTTCGCACAATGATAGAAGCATGTTTATTGCGATTACTTGGCAGATATGATCCAAACCAGTTTAAAACGATCGGCCAGACATCAGACAAGGCCTATGTCAAAGGTAGTTGGTGAACAATCGTGTTATGTTACTGAAGGAGAGATTGCAGCAGATTCCATGCACCCCACAACAAAAATGAAGTGAAAAGCATATTTACACAAACAAGGGAAATAGAAAGAAGGGTTAAAGTCAGATCACAAAGCTGCTGAACGTCCTGGCACTCACCACTAGCCCAAGTGAATGCGCGAATTAAGGTAAGGAATATCGGGAAGCTTGAAGTCTTTGAGCTTCTGAGCAATTTTTAAATCCTTCACAGCGGATACAGCACGAGCAGGAGCCATTGGAATAGTACCTTGCTGGGTAAATATACGGAAAAAAAATATTTTGTTTAATCTTCATCGAAGTCAGCACTATTCGAAAGTAGACCGAAGTGCGAATAAAACAGCTAGGTTGTGTCAAAATGAGAATGGACCTTAATTCAACCTTAAATTTTATCAAAACTAACAAATAACTGTAAATTACTTTATTGATCCCAAAGGGAATGCAAAGCCTTTCCCAGTTGCAACAAATTCTGAGTGCCTAAGCAGGAGCGGTAGCACTAGCAATTAGGCGGCAATACCACTGCACTATGTTGACTAAACCCCACGTGCAAAAACCACCGATTAAATCGAAACACACATTCCTATGTGAAATTGCAAAAAGCACCAAGTTCAGTTTACTCAATTACAGAACAAGAACGACGCGATATTAGAACTTGAGTTCCCACATAAAGACTAAAAATATATATTGCTGCATACCAATAAACTAACCTCATGACTTTACAACATAGTAACCGCACTTAGGGACATTTGAAAATAATTAATGTTCAAAGGCAGCACAAAAATATTACATTTTCAGCTAAGTGCCATAAAAAAACTTGGGTCGCAGAAGCAGTAAACGTAGACACTAGCTCACTGCACTAGAAGCAGGAAAAAGACACCACAGACATGTAATTCAAAAGGAAATTGAAGACTTGGGGCGTCAGAATACGGTTGATAGGCGACTCATGCAACAAGCTGGAAAATTTTAACATGAACAGTAGCGTACACCGCTAATAGGTTTTCCTTAAAACACGCACATCTGGAGGACTTTGTTGATGGTGAAAAGATAAAAACAATGGTTTAAGCGATTAGAAAACAATTCCATAACCACAGAATTCGTTGTTATAGATAAGACGAAGACTACCAAAAAACCAAAATCCGCATTTCCATGATTTAGTGCTTGGGCTCATTAAGGAAAATACCTCTTGTTTTTCCAGCTTATTTTGCTCTTCATTGTGCTGGACAATTTCACTGATGTGTGTCTCCAGAACCATGCCACCAATAATAAGCTCATTAAGCAGAAAATGGACCTAGAAAAAGGGAGCGAGCATTAAGAAAATAACCCCCGACAATTTAAGGAACAAGCATTTTACTCAAAATTAATTCTAACAGGATAACCCAACCTCATTTGGATACCTACCTTTGAGTTGTAGCTCAGATGGCGGGGACTACACTGACCAACAGACTATTCGAAATGCTGTGTATTTTATCGATTTCCAATTGAAAGAGATTAAGCTTACCTTATCTGAATGGAAGATTAGATCGAGTTCGCAAACACTTTCAAAGGATTTGTCCAGCGCCTCAACGAACACTTGAATCAAATCAAGGATGCCCAGTTCACTTTCGGTTGCGTCAACACAAAAGACGAAGTAAAGGGTGGCATAATGTCGATAAATGAGACGACAACTTTGTTCAGGAAAAATGTTGCTGAGAAACAACTTTGGATGAAATGGAAGCTTTACCTGCCACCTTCGAGGAAATTGCACACATTTTCGTCCCGTTTCGAAACCAAAAAGAAGGTTTCTCTTAGGAGTTTTTGCTGAAGTTCTTCGGGCTATGTATTAAAATAGATAAGAAAAGGATAAGTTTAAATTTTCATAAGTTAACAAAGCTAAATACTTGCAAAACAGACTCCACACAAAAATTTCTGAGCTTAGATTACAAGGGCTTTAAGATCTATATAACACCAACATTGACCAAAGTTACTAAAAATGACAATTACCTGACAAAATCAACTGACCGGGGCGATGGATCACTTGATTAAACCTAATCTTTTCAGTAAACACAAGCAGCATACAAGATCAATAACTTTTTCTGTGGCACTACATAAATCTTCCATGTTCTTCATGCGCGCTACTCAGAACCATGTAAAATCACACGAGCAGAACTTAACCACCTAACATCTAAAACTAGATATTATTGACACAACTCATGGAAAATGAGAATAATAATTGCAGGCGAGTGTAATTCAATCAAGATAAAACAACTACCGCAAATTGTTTACAGATAAAATCAATGTAGACTGAAGCAATCGGAGAAAATTCTACGTACCACATTGTCGTAGAACTTCATTAAACGAGGTTTCCCGCTATTATTGAACACTAGAACAGCACGAATCATTCCGCAACACAAAACAGGGAAGAAATCACACCAAATGAAATGTAGCGCACTTAGCCAGACATCTGCCCAATTGCAATTTCGATAAACATTTAAAGCCTAAAGAGGGATTGGTTTTGCGTTCTCCTTGTCGCACCAAAAATAACCTAACTGTTTTAAGGCGGAAGGTTATAATTCCAGCAATAACTGATGAAGTGATCATCCTACTAGACAAGCCAAACAGAATTTTAAGTTTTTACGGAAAAATTAGGTTATTTCAATCATCAAGCAAGGACACTTTGTATCTTATTGTACTGGCATGCTTTGGCAGCTATTTCAATAAAATTTCTTGCCGCATGGGAAATTAATCAGTTTTGTAAAGTCTAATAAACTGTAATATTTGCACGAGATTGTGCATATCTTGTGTATTTCCACTGAGATATGCTTTCTCAGTTTTTTCTTGTTTGTGGTATAGAGCCTACTTTATTAGATATTTAAGCATTTACCCAAGGAAGTGCGGCTTCTGATTTCAACAATGGAAGCCTGTACTAAGTAAACAGAGAAAAATGTCTTGAGCTTCTTAATAACGAGCCCGCTTTGGAAAAGGCACATAATATGCCTGAGTTTGGTTTGAAGTGCTTTGTGCACGCATGTCGCAATTCCTCTTGCATAATGTCTGCATTACTCAGGAAGTTCAACATGTATGAAAAAAGTATATAAACACATTTACCATGTCACATAGATTGTAGATATTGTAACCAGAAACCCAACCAAACTACTTGATTATTATGTAAATCATTTATGTACTCTAATGATTATCTCTGTGCAGCAGTTTCTTGAACATAAAAATGACTTATTGTACCTCCATCCTGCTTCGAATTAATTTTAAAAATCTATAGTTTCCTCAATTTCAAACGTTTACTTTTTGTACAAAAGGTGTCTCGGATTATATTACTCCCAAATATTACACCACACGTATAGAAGCAATATAATGTCTAACTGAGCAAAAGACTCGAGTTGTAACAAATTTTTCGAAACCTTGTTTTCTAAGACTTTTATTGACATTTGCTACCTTTCTTGATACTAAGAGTTACCGACGGAATACTGGGATAATTTAGTGAACTCTTTAGCTAAAGAATTGATTGGGAATGATGATAATACTCCTCATTCATAGATCGTCTTAAACATCAGGTTTGCGAAAATCGAATTCACATATGCATGAAGAGCTTATAGGTTCTTGTTCGATTTACTATATGTGGGGATCCTGTGTGATATATAGTTTAATTGCGTCTCTCATCATCCTTTTTCTTCTTAAATGAAGTTTTGCTATTCCCTTTAAAGGGGTTCGTGTGCTTTGAACCCATATTTCTTGCCAGCCTTAGAGTTCACGGTTATCTTGGTGTAAATCCTAGAACCTAGAAGAGAAGACAGCTTTTAAACAAACATCTGAAAACAATAAAAGTGATGTCTTTAAGAGTCTATTAATATATCTTTAAAATCAGAAAGCAATGGTTCATTTACATTTAAGCTATGCTCTCTAATATCTATTAATCCTTTAAATTTGAAAGATGCGCAAAAAAGTGGATGTGCACCAGTGTTTTATAAACTTTGGTGTCATAGTGATGTAGATACATACATGTTACAGAAGACTTTTTACTCAGTTTCATCACTTGAATTCCCAACGGAATTTAGTTCACTGTCATGCTTGCAAAACCTTATTATCCTTGTGAACGAAAGAATATGATGATAACGTTTGAGGCTGACAACTCTGGTAACATTTTTTTACCTGGCATTGTTCTGCCGGGGCCTCACATGCAGGAGTAAATAGACGCAGCATAAAAATTATGTAGTCAACAAACACTAGCCCGACCTGTTCCTTATCGCATTGATCTCATATACTATCTCGCGTTTCTCTATGTACATCCCTCCTTGCCCAGTACCCGATATTTTGGAATATATCAGGTCCTTCTTACTCATCTTTTTATCGCATGTCAGATAGTCCCTGGCTATCCCTAGGAATCAGTTTGAGAGCAACCACCCTTTATAACTTCTCTGATGGATAGGCACGTTAGATAAATTCTTCTGTTGTGAATCGTGTTTATTCGCACTCATTAATCCGGTCGCTTTTGGTGTCCGACACATCGACCTTCGTTGTACTGACGTTTGTCGACCTATTTGTATGATTCTGTCTTATCGCTAAGCGAGGATTCATTTCTAGCCACAATTCTTTGGACGACGCCAAATCTCCGGATGCTGCTAAACTCTGGACGATGCTCTTCAACTCCCATCACCTGGAGGCGGCTACCTATCGTTTTGAGTTAATCCCTCCACTTTTATCAGCACAAATCTCTCTCCTGCTTACAACCTGGCCTCATCCATCGAGTCTCTCTTTTTATCAATATGGCCGCATCTCTTGACTTTCACTGGCTTCGACTTCTGACGCTCATCCAACAGATATTTTCTACCGATTCTGTACCCTGGTTCTCGACTGTTAACCAAATCAAAAGACGTCAACGATCTTACGATTTGGCATCATGCACGACATAGTCTCGATTTAAGCGCATCTATGACGGATGCGTCCACGTCCTCTTTGATCTTTTTCATCATCGCGGGTATCAGGGAAGCGCAATTCCGTGGCCCAGGCGTGGTTCAAGACCACATGCCGGGGCCCGCAACACTTCGTTCTTGAATGTTTCTAAAAAGGAGTTTAAAGAGTGAGCCTTGCAATATTAAATGCCCTGGTTCATGCATTGAGAGCATTCGCTAGTATTTTCCCAATTTTCTGGAAGCCCCAAAGTGCAACTTTAATTAAGACTATGTGTTCTGAACTATTGCGGCTTTGAGGCCCTTCCTAAATAACTCACGCACTCATAACAAAAATGTCCTGGCCAAGAGGTCCTTGGGACAATTAGCTGCTTTTGTAGTGGCTCACAACCATCTAGTTACCAACCCGAGAATGGAGTGAAGAGAGGCAACAGAGGACGCGACCGCTTATTAGCGTCACGCCAGCCAAGTGGGTGTCTTGGTGTGTGGATGAGTGAACGGATGACAGGCACCTGATAACAGTAACCAATAGAGAGGTGATGAGTCATTGTCACCGTCAGGTCAGTAACCAGGTTTCACTCAGGCGCGATCGCTGTTAATCCGCTACAACCTCTAGATTTCTGCGTCCACCGTAGTTTTTTTTTCAACAAACCATCTTTGATGAGCAATCTAAACTCCAATCGATCTGTTAGATCTCAGAAGGCCAGTTTTCAGTCTTCGGGTAAAGCTGTGATTTCAACTTGGTTCTCCAATAGTTTTCTTTGCTGGCTCATTTAGGGTGTGATTCCGTTAGGCCGTGTAGTTGTGGATTGATTGATCCAACTAAACCAGGTGTACTAGAAGGAGACACGTACTTCAAGGTCACGTTTAAACACATTGTCCCTTAAAATGTTTAATTGGAAAATTTTCATTCTGATATGAGCGTCTTTCATTTTCTTTTCTCATGAATAAACAGAGTTCACTCGGGCGCGATCGCTGTTAATCCGCTGCACATAGTACAATCATACGGATACATTACTTTTTTTCATTTTAATGTTTGAAAGAACCAATTGGTGATTATGTGAGCACTGTGTTTACTTAGAAATTTGCATTATGTTAAAGGACACGAAGGCTACACTTTCATTTACCTGGATAAATCAAGTTGTGAAAAGCCCTACAACATTAAAACAGAAAGGTAGGAAACTGTTACACTAAACATGTACGTTTTTTAAGTAGCCAAAGTACGTGTACTAACCAATGAAATTAACTTTGCAACAGATGGCATAATAATCTTCAATTGAAAATGTTGAACATAATTTACGCATAGGCTCCCACAATTAATCAGTGATATCTCTTCTGACATAACCTTGTTTAAGTTGCAAATAATTATTGCGAGAGACCGTTCTTCAAAAAGGTATTCCAAACCATTTCTGGCTTAACTTTATCAAATGAAAGGAATAAGTATTGCCTAATTTCACAGTTGTTTGTGTCGCCTAAAGATTTAACGGTGAGTTCTTTAATGATATTTTAAAATGAATTTTGACCCATAATATTTCGGCGTATCCATTTTGCGCATGCACAACTTTGTTTTGTTATAATTTAATCTCTGCAATGATTTTTTTTGGTGTTGCAACATGATGCGTGATTCTTGGTTTTAAACACAGAAGCACATCGAGTGAAAACAAATATCTGAATTCGTGTGATAAGGTAGCAACATCTTGTTGTGCTAATTTGATTGGACCGTCAGCATTCTGCGTGCACTTGAACCGGTGAGTGCAGCTAAAATCAGCAGTTTAGTGAGATAACCACACTTGCCTTTATTGTACGTGGCACTGATGAAATTTGAAACTTATCTAAACACGAAACGTTTCTGTGGTTTCAAGATATTCGTAGACACTGAACGCTTTTAAATTGTTGAAATGGTCAAAGCGAGATTAGAGTCCAACGTATTCTGTTGCAAATTTCATAGCCATAGAGCTTGCATTTTTCAAGGTGGAGAAAAATTAGACCCTTTGGCTGAGGCCGGAGCAGCTTCAACAAGTGACTCACATGACGCATGTTGTAAAGAAACTGTTATTTAACCGGTTTCTTTGTTTCAACGTCGATGATATCTACGGGCTGAAATATCCAGGAAGCTTTTGTATTCCTTTATTAACGAGATTGAGGTTTAATGCAGCCACCGTGATCAACAAGGCTCGTGCACACACAGCCCGCGTGACAACGTTACGGTTACTGAGGTTGGTTCCTTTATTGACTTGGAACGTTTGTGAAGTTGTTTTTCAGTGCCTCAAAGCAGCGGTGCCATTGACTGCACTTTTATTTGATGTGATTGTAAGCCCCGTGAGTGTTGGTGCAGTTATTACCTTAGAACACAATTTTCAACAAAGCTATTATTAATTAACTTGAAGTGGTGCTTAATGTGGTGCATAGTGTATTGGTTTTGGCCTTTGCATGGTATTCTGAACAGAAAGTTTCTCTTGTGATTTGGATAACGGCACCATAAGCCGGTGCAGAAATCTGGAGCAACATGAACAGTTTAACCAGTATTTTACATATTCTAGCAGTTTCACTATTTTAGTCAACTCCGTGATGTAGGAATTTCATCGTGTTTCTACGAAGACGGTGATTTTTTAAAATTTGATTAAGTATATTGTGAACCGTAGCACAATAAGGTATGTATAGTCGCATGAGGCAAATGCTCACTTGTACTTTAATGTATTATTGGTTCTAAAACTTCTCGTACATCAGGGTTCAGGCGTTCTACTTGGGAATTTGATTATTTTAAGGTATCTGACCCTCAGACTGCCTTGTTATTTGGAGTGCTTTGTGGCTCACAAATCCTACTTCAGGAAATCAAAATCCATTAAAAAAATATATTCTAAAAGCCAAACTCTACTCCCTTCTGCGGACTTTTCAGCATCAACTATTTTACAATACACCGCACTACGTTAAGACTTGTTCAGACCCCATTGCCTTTTGAATTCGATTCCTCCGATTCAACCGTTTAATCGGGCAGATTGCTTGTTATCGAGACAAACTTCACAAGTTGTACTAAATGTTCCCCATAAAAATGTTTATATGTCTTTTTCTTAAATTGTTTTCTTTCCATCTTGTTTTAAAAGTGGGCGTAGTTGTGATATATTCCCCCACTCTTTTTCATTTTTTAACCATTGACGTGTCTCTGTTGTCAGAAAAAAGTTCCTTGAGGCATCCACGTTTTGTGTGCCCTGTTTACTCTTGAAAAAAAGTTTTGCTTCAATGCGCTTGACGAGGTAATGCAGTTAGTTGCACAGGATTAGCGAATTTTTGTCTTGTTGTTGTCTATGGTCCAAATATATATTTGCGTAGATTCAAATATTTTGGCCACGATTACTGTTCCAGGCTTTCCAACAAAGCCTCGGATAAACCTTTAAAATCTAGTTTTTATTGCAAGTTTGCCATTTATAAGAGGATGAACTGCGCATGACACTAAATATTCTTAAAGTGTAACACCACACAAATGTAAGGCACTTTTCCAACGGAGTCATCCACATATCCCTGAGGGACACATTTGAAATTTGATCCCAAATCAGTCCAGATGTGCCCGGCCTTCATATTAGACATTACTATGCGCATTATACCACAAGTCCAGGGGACAAATACCCGAGGTAAACAGTTAATTTGGAGCTATTCACTATGCACAATAATAGGTTTGGCTGCACATATATGTGAATGTTATTTGTCTTAAGGAACATTTGCTGTAAAATCTCACCTTTGTAATTGTTGCCTTGCTAGGTATCTGTTACTCATTCCAGTCAGAATACCCCTAAAACTTGAGCGCATTGTCAATAGATTTCGGTTATTAGTAGTTTTTAATTTCCTAAGGCAAATAATTGATTTCCCACGCAAAATTGACTTGAGGTCTAAAAACGAATGTTCAGCTAATGGCTTTAGTGACATAAAAATAAATGCAAATCATGCAAAGTGGATTGACGGGATGCACTACCAGTTGACGTGGGGTAAGAAGCAATCGGCGTTACTTCTGATCCATCACTATTGTGTAGGCAACTCAAGAAGTGCTTGTCTAGAGTCTGGCTTTTTTATTTGAATGTTTGCATGTTTGGTATGTTCACAATGAAAATCAAAATGACAAAGTACCGTTTATGCATGTGTGAACATTCAAGTGAGATGAACACAGAGCATTGCTTTGTATTCACTCTTGATAGACAGTTAACCTGTGATAACCGTCGTCAAATTGAGCGCTAGGCAATTGACGTTTTGCTTACATCGGAAAATGATCAGTCTGGACCTTAAAGTCTGCAGGTTACGCACCCTCACACACGACTCTTCCCTAGTTTATAAAGTTTAAGTGGGCCTGAGCCGATTCAATAATACGGTGTTCCACCTTGCGTCAGTATACTTTGATTCTCCAACTCCGTTTATTACTATTAGCACATGTTTTTGGCAGAAAGTCGTGTAAACACTCGCAGTAATTTGAATTTACCCTTAGTGTAATGACAAAACTTGGAGAAGCCTAATTTCCCATGACCCGTGGAAATTGTTTCTGAACAACCTTTACTGTAGACATTAATGCCACTGACAACCTATCATATTGGGTATATAGACTATATTACAATGCTTTAGTATCCTAAACTTAATTGCTGTACGTCGATTCGTAAACCAATGATCGGTTATCGAGTGGGATATTCTCCGAGAGACTCGTGAGTGCCTTTACTAGTCATCGATGATTAGCCTCTGAGTTTGAATGCCAGACTTCTATTCAATGTCCGGTGTTTAGATATCTGCTTATTGACTTTTATAAACCCTATAATTTTGCAAATATATCAATCACACAGAAACGCACGGGAATTGTATTCTGCAGCTGGATCAACAAAGAATCTTTGCTGACACTGACCTTCTTTCTCAAAACAAAATTTGATAATTACGTTTCATTTGCATTTTCAGCTTTTCAACCACTTTATTGGTATGAATCAGAATACGAAGATTAAATTTATGAGTTTTAATTTAAAAACGCGGTTAAAAAGTTCACACAAATTTAAAAGGCGCTGCTAGAGACAATAAATGGCGGCAACACGTGAGCAAATGCCACTAACTCAACCGGTCAGATTAGCAATTATGCCAAAGGCCATCAAATCCGAAATAGCACCCGAGATGTTGGCTGATGTGGTGCTCCCTACAACAGTCAACGGCCCACGTGTAATCGGACCGAAGTAGAGCGAGAAAAAGCAGAAGAGGAAGACGGTCGTCGTAATGATTACCACTAGCCCTATAGTGAGGCCAATCTTAGCGCTTCTGGTTTGATATAGACTGATTGGAACAATACGAAGGGGTTCGGTTTCGACCCCAGTTCCTTGGTCATTCGAGCCTTTCTTCTTGAGGCAGCAGCAGCACTGAACGTCCTCGGGACACGGCTGATCAGTGCAACCCCAAAACCATTGACACATGTGCCCGGACACGTGGAGGCAGGAGACGCAGAGACCTTGACCCTCAGACACTTGGCCATCCACAACGCTGGCGTCCTCACTGGCGTCACTCTGTGTGATTGTGGAGGTTCTTTCGTCAAAATTCTTATCTGACAAAAATATAAATTAGCAAGTTGAAATTTTTTTTTTAAACGGATCTCCTTGATGAGCATTCATAGTTCTCGTCAGGAGTAATCGCGAAGAAATAGATCAATTGTGCTATATTTGGTACTTCATCTAAGTTTTCTCCACAGCGTTTTGATAGTCCAAGAATCAAGTTTGGTTGTTGAACCTGCACTTAAACCTGCATCTTTTACGTACGATCGGTGTCTTATTTTAAAGACAAAATGAAAATAAGCTTAAAAGGCAGTTTCAAAATTTGGTCAAAATACAAATATAGGCAAACCTATTGGAATATTTTTTTTCTTCAAAAAACACGACTGGTCCTGAATCAATGGATTAAAAACCTTCAAGGATACGAGTAATAATAACAAGTCGTGCATATCTGGTAGCATTGAGAAATATTAACTTTTTTAGGCGCAACAAAGGATTTGCGACGTGTACGAAAGCCAAGACCTTTTTTACGTAGACTCAACACATTGTAGGCAGTAGAATTATCTTCCAAAGTTGTATCACTTAACAATGCTGCAATTAAAATTCATTTTCTTGATGGGTACGATCACACGACAAGACCTTTTCGATATCAGATGTTGTATTTTACATTAAAGGGAAGAAAATTTACAGCCACTGTGGCAATCTTTCCTCGCAATCTCGATAAAGCAAACGCAGAGTCGAGTTCGGGTTTCGGATTTTCACGCTTAAGAAGTAAAGACCAAAGACAAAGCACATTGGAGATGCTCCTATGACTGAAGGTAGATCTCGTTTCGAAAGATTCCATTTTGGCAACCCCTTAATTCAAGCATACAGATAAGGAAAAAAATTTCGAGTTACCAAGATCACTGCGTTTTGTGAGACCTGCGTCTTTTTCGCTTTCACCTCCCTGTGCACGCTCTTCCCCCGTCTTGTCTCTTGAGTCGTCTACAGGATCCAATTTAATTTCCTCGGAAATGGGCACTACGTGGTCGGTCGGACTCGAGGAGGTCGCGTCCTTGCGAGTCCAAAAGGTGAGACCGCGCACCTGCTCCTCAGTGGGCGGCGACGAGCACAACGAAACCAGGCCCATCACGGCGGCCGTAGAGAAGAAGGAGAACATCGCAAAGTACATGTAGTGCACCTGGGAAACTATCCAAGGACGGGTGTCTGGCTCACCGCAGATCGGGTCTGGATAGACGAAACTGAGAACCATTCTGGTTATGCCGATTAGGAAACCGTAAATAAGGCCGGTAAATGCTCCCTGAGAGGAATTATGGTATGCCAAGATGAATTTGGGTATTTTCACAGCAACATTAGACAATAAAAAGGGGAGAAATATTTGCGATTTAAAGGAAAAGGGTAAAATCTGTAGGGAGCGAGTGAATGAATAAGGCGAATAATTGCGTCATTAGGGAGGGGGACTAGGGGAGTTGTGATGCGGCTTTACTATTTTTCTAGCAGCAACAGCTGCCCGATGAATGTTTTGTAATAAAACTGAATATAAAATGATATCAATGCGCCCGCAACCTGATTTCAATGCGCTTGGATATTTAAACTGCCGTTTCTATGCGCCTGTAGGTTTAACCTGTCATTTCTAAGGATATTTGTCAGCAGCGCATATTTGCTGTTTTAGAAAACCAGTCTTTGAATAGACGGGGTTCTATGTTCTAAATGCACAAGTAACAAAATAAGCAATTACCGAGGGACGAAAGACATGACAATTTAAAACCCACTCAAATTGGGCAACTCTTTTTTAGTGCAATCTGTGGAAAAAACCACAACTAAAACTAATGAACAGCTCGGGATAGATTCAGGCCAAAATGCTTCTTGGGAAGATTAACAACACAAAAGGACAAACCAATTCATTGTTTCTTTTCCATAGAAGAGCCATGAGGTAGACCGCAGCGATTGGAGGTGACAAAAAGCCGGAAACAGATTGAATGTAGATGTAGAGCTGACCTCCTTGCATGCTTTGAATCACGGGTACCCAAAGTATGCTGAGACCGACCATTACCAAGACAAAGACTCTGTGAGAGAAGATGAAGCCGTCAGATCGACCGATTTACAAGTAAAAATGAATGGATTAGTACATTTATTCCAACTGTTGAAGTAATACAAGCTCAGCCATTTCTGACATGCTCAAGTGAGAAGCTGTGAGGCAAAATATTAAAGTGGTTAAATGTTTCAGCGCAGTTGGCAAACCTACAAAATACCTTTTTATATGATTCTGATGGGGAGAGAGAGCTTACCGTCCCACAATCATTAGTTCCCGGTTTTTCGCCTGGCGACGAAAATGAGTGTAAAGGTCGACTGTGAAGAGAGTGCTCGAGGAATTGAAGATGGAAGTTAGATCGGACATAAGAGCGGCGAGCATTACCGCCAGCATGAGACCTCGGAGACCTGTGCACAAGGACATACAAATAGACCCGCGTAACTGACCAGCCCGGAGCCATCGGTGAATAGAATTGTTAATACATTTCCTTGGAGTATCGTCAGAAACATGACTAAGTGTTACGTGATTTCTTAAAACACTATTGTCTGCGAACTGAGTACTCTGCTGCTGGTTTAAGTGAACACTTAAATTCAGAGTTTTATTGCCGGTTCATAATGGCTTTTTACCTATAACTTAAGCATTATCCGCAGTGGAGACGCGGTGCACATTTTAGGGAAAAATAGCAACTAAGTTCAAGTATATTCTAGAAGGAGTCTAGACCCAATAGCATACCCCACTAACGAACATTTAAGCACCCGGATAGAAACTTACGTTGTAGATAAACCATTATGATAAGATATGGAAATAGATAAACCGGACTTCTGATTTCAGATGACAGTACGGAAGAATGCTTGTTCTGCCAGTCATTCAAACTTCAATTACACCTCCTTCATCATAAGGAACACCCATTCCTTTGCTAATAAGTTTGACTACTTCATTAAATGTTTGTGCTGAGATTTTGTTAAAATTTGTTCGCCTATGCTTCCTTCAACACTAAAAGCAACCATAGGAAATATTCCCTTAAGTCGAACCCTTTAAGTAGAGTACCTGCTTTGCATAAAAAAAACTTTGTTTAAATTTTGGGTACGTAAGTTGTTACACTGAAGATTGTGCTGTAAGCGTATTTAATCGACCAACAAAGCAAAGTCCTGATCCGCTGACGGTTTAATGGACTGTTGCTAGACGCAAAGGCCAGCTTAACTACCGTTCGGATATTTGTTCATGTCTTTTCTCTTTTGTAAGACAGCTAATGATGTAAGGCATGCGATCCTGATCACCTGATTTCATACCATCAGGCCTTTGTTCTTCTACTTTGAGCGTTGACGAGAAACTTACCACATCAAATAGACCAAATGTAAAAATCAAGGTATTAATGAACGAATTTGTATAAATTCTCTCAGCGTTTCTAGATAATAATGAGTTTCAGGAATTCAGGAACCTCGTAGCCATGTGCTGTCACTTCAAAAGTCACGTTTGTACATCAAAATCCTCACCAAGGAAGAACTTTTGTCAAATTAGTTTAACAAACCCGTGGAAAAGCTTTACTGCTTCAATTTAAAGCCAGGCCTTTCAAATGAATTTTGGGACGAACGTTTTCTATGGAATTATAAGTGGATTTTCTTTTTGAACGGTTTTGTTTGGATTCTTTGACTCTACAACAGATTGATTTAATTTATTCTAATGTATGCACCAGACAAGATTGTGTACACTTTTGACCTTCACTTTTTACAATAACAAAATCAATTCTTAGCACTCACAAGTTTTAAATTCAATGAATGAGCATTTTTGACGACCGTCAAGTACAGTCACAGTTATCCCACACTTACTCAACTTTTAGCCCTATCAATAGTTAAAGTTTTAAATAAAGAAATAATTTCCTAA